TCTAGGGGGGGCTTTGGGGATAACTTTCTCATAGTTGGTACCATTTTCAGATAGATGGGTGCAGCGACAAAAGTTGATACACGAATTCAGAAGTTGGGTTTGGCAACGATGGATAGAAACTAAAAGCGGATGATTTCACCGTAGACCACGACTGCAAGCAGATACATTTCACTTCTCGACTTACTGTCAATTAGAAAAACGCGGCTAGACCATGGGCCACCGAATCGACTCATCGTCTGTAACCTTCATGCGAAAATCAGGTAAAAGGCCGCGAACGGGCACATGCACGAAGCACGATTGTACGATCGGCACTTTCAAACCTAAGTAACTATTAAAAATATATATGCGAAGGTTGATCAATCTCAGGGTTTAACTTTAAATTGACCATCACCTTTTTTCTCATAAAGGTAAAATTTAAAACTCTATTTAATCGTAGAGAAGGAGATTTAATAAAAATATGGGTAAACAGGGCTAAAAAATTACAAACACTAAAAAGCAGGACGTTTTGAGCTGTTACCAGCTCATTTTCAGCTGCAAAAACACATGAAAACAAGTACAAAATTAAGTGGCGACCTGACCCCAGCCGTTATCACGTAACCACTAATCTTATTTACTTCGCTTCACTTTTTTTTTATTAAATCTCCTTCTTTATTCGTATATTCGGGCTATATTTTTGTGTTTTATCGTTTAATCGTAAATAAATGTAACAAGTACCTACTTGACGAAAAAAAGGACCTAGGTTCCGAAAAACTCAAAACTGCGCTGATTATATGTGTAACTGCTTGTAGAAACGTTTCACAAAAATTTAGGCACTTGAGGAAAAAGAAAAAAAATGTCCCTACAAATGTCCACCAAAAATTCCAAAAATGAAGATAAAATGGTTTAAGTTATGGTTCAAAAAACCTGCAGGCGGCCCTTCAGCCTGGTTCAACCGGAACTAAGTACTACCAATTCTTTCGCTCGAACATAGTGGGAAAAACAACATCTTTGCGAAAACATAACTTCCATCGCTCTTTTTTTTCTCTTGTTTTGTTTGTTGAAAAGTTGGGGCATAAAGGGACCCTGATATTTCCGCAGTCAGAATAAGGAGCGTTCTACGTGAGTTTATGCGCTCCGAGTCCTCGGAACCCTAAAAATTGGTTCTAACTCTTATTTACGTATTGGGCGAACTAAGGTGATTGAGAGGAGGGGTTTTCATGGGACAACTTTTTGTTTTTTGCGAGAGTTAAGTAATATTGAGCAGCTACAAAAATAATTAAGGCTCTTGTCCTAGAGTGGTCATTCCCTTACTCCCTGGGGGAGTCTTCTCAGGGGAAGGGGGCCCCTCTTACCCCTTCCCACCAGAACCCTAACTTACCTAGACCCTAGCTTTTGATCATGTGTGCTTTCATAGGAGCTACTGTTGATGTCTTTACTTTTTGGTTTATTTTGTATGAGGTTCCTACGCAAATGGGAATGGTTCTTTGGGATACCTACCTAATTTAAAAAAAAAAAAAAAAAAAAAAAAAAAAAAAAAAAAAAAATCCTGCTGATTAAGTAAGTAGATATTAACTTCTTTTAGGGGGAAAACCAGTTATGAAATTTTTTTCAAATTTTGTTTCTAAAACAATGTGTTTGAAATAAGTATCTGATAAGCCTTTCGTCAATTATTTTATAGAAGTATCAGGAATCAACCAGCGGGTCGATTATTGAAATTTAAACCAGCCCGATAAGACATCGAATTGCGATATATTGCACGGTTAAGATAGGGCTATGTCTTGTCGTAAGCGGCGACATAGAGTCAATGACATTTCAATAATCTCCCTGCAGGAAAGCTTGTTGAAGATGTTTCCAACAGATCCTGAGAAAAAGGTGCATACACAACATCTCATGAAACATCTTAAAGACATGGCCTGGAGTACGGATTATTACGCCGATCAGCCACTGATGAAGCATAGCGATGGCGAAAATGTGAAACAATATATCTCCATTTGCGACATTGCCGACTTCCTGTCATACTTTATTTTTTAATAAAACAAGTCGATGTTCCTACTTAATTTCTTGAAAACTTTCTTGATTTTTCTGTTTATCAGCACAATATCCTCCATTAGTTTCAAGCTATAAAGTTGGCTTATTGCTCTTCAAAAAATAAAAGAGGAGTTGAGATTTCCAAACATCACAACAGAGATATGATGTTGCGCATTTTGGCCATTGGAACGCACTGACCAAATCTAATGCGTCGTAAGTGTAATACAGCCTCATACTCGGCAACACCTGTAGTTTGATGGTAAAACTGCAGAAATGCGTATCCTGGTTTGCGACGTTTCAAACTCCCTGTCAATCTTTGTTTTCTACGTGGAAAATTTCTGGACGCTACTTTTTGAAAATTTCTGTGCTTTGGCTTCACTTTATAAAGAATATTCTATGAAAACAGTAAGCTTTCATGTTGGTTTGGTCTCTTTTTAATAAGATAGGAGAGATTTCAAAACACAGCAACCGAGTTGCGCATTCTTGCAGTTTCACCGGCGATTTACACAAAAGGATCTCAACCATCCTCTCTAAAGGGTAATCTACATTCAGATGGTGTGAAGGCATTAAGAGCCTCCCAGTTTGATGGAAGTTTCTTCATGTTGCATTAATTACATGTTGGTTGGCAAGAAAGATGTAGATCTTTGCTGAAGGATAAGTAAGTATGCAACTAGCAACAAGTTGTTCGTTTGGTTGAAGTTGCTATTAAGGAAAGTGTGTCTGTCAATAATGTCTTTGAAACAAAGTGTGTTTCTGGTAAATTAAGTGAATAAAATGTTGGTTAATAAGCTGCTGAGAAGTAAAAAAGGCTGTCATAGCTGACAGATATAAATTCAATGGATCCCGACCACAGATTTCAAAACTATGCACATCCAAATCTGCTGAACCCTGGCTTCAACAAGATTCAAGAAAAATTAAATTGCATGCTCTGTCTAAATGATAAATACTTCGGGCTAGAATGCGGCTGAAAAGGAGGTAAGTATCTGGCCCGTACCTTTGTTTACTTAGCACATGCCATAGTGATAAGAGATAAGAAAATGGGTGCACTTACCAGGGATTGCAAAGAGTGAGGCAGAACACTTGAAGATAACGAGAGAAACTATCGAGTATGTAGTGTCCCTTCTACTAAAAGCAAGAGGGCAACGACAGAAACAACTGAAATATTCCTTTGTTGCAGGAGGATCGTTGCTACTACAGACTAACGACCAACAGTGACCCTCTTCTCCACGAGTGCGAAAAGAGCAACGTACGTTTTGAAATACGGTTACCAAATGTCACTCGGCGTTTTGATCACAGACAAAAAACGAATCGGTAAAAGACTTCTTTCCAAAAACACTCCGAAATAAACACTGAAACTGTCACCAATCCTTCGTTACCGGTTATCTCCGCAACTCCGCGCGTGTTTTGCTCGCGACTGCTGAATCTGTTGCATGAATATACACGCTGAACGAACAGCCAGCCAATAGGTGGAGGGGGATTCAAACGAACTTAGTAAAACCGCCACAAGAGCGCGGGAGTGGTTTAACCCTTACCTGCTCAGTGGTCAGTTATACTGACCACCTTTTTAAATAATTATTCATGGCCGTTTTGGCGCGACATACCCTTACCAACCATGTAGTTATACTTGGTATACGGTCCAGAATATGAAAAAAAATATTGCCGGGCGATGTTATGTTGGCAATACTGTTTTATCATCTATTGTTTACCTCCGATTCGTTGGAGGTTTGGTGCCGCCGGTGTTATCTCCAGTTTTACCTGCGGGAAGCTACCAATGAATTCTGCCAATGAATGTTGACACCAGAAGAGAAACATCTGAGGCACCCGGTGGCTGTCGTTCAGGGGTTCTCAAACATGCATTGCAATGTTTCCAAGGTGCGCCGCTAGGCGCTATATAACCTTAGTTTCTTAGTTTCTTACGTGAAGTCCAGCCAGCACGTTATGTACATACATACGTTAAAGAATTACTTGTCAATATTACTTGCAGTAACATAGTAACGAGTAGTTGCATAGTTTGAATTTATGGTGCAGGCTTCAATTTCGTATAATCCACATAATTTAACGAGCTTACTAGCGGCTCGCGTGTCCGTTACGGCATTGGGGAAGAGGAGAGACACTTAAGCTTTCGCATGCGTCCTTCATCCTTATAATTTTCAAATACTTAAAAGCCGAGCATAATATCTCTGACGAAAGAATACATGGTCCAAATTAAGACCCTACCACGACCTGCAGTAAAAAACTGAGTTCCTACTTGTATTTCACCCAAAATTGTAAATAAAAATATTTTTTAAAAACCCCTGTTGCAAGCGGCATGGTTTTTTTCCGTGGGGTTGTCGGCAATTAAGTAGGGGAGACTTTTCTTTTTGTGGTCCGCGCATTTACCGCTGCATCAGTGTTTTTTCCGTAGAGTTATCAAATATTTAGTAATCCATCATTTAGGCACTGGTATGCATCTTTAATTTCAGTTCAAAATATTCACAATTTCTCGAGTTTTCACGAACCCCCCCCCCCCTCCCGAACCGCTATCCCCGCCAATAAAAAATATATAAATGGCCGCTGGTGCATAACTCGTGAGATGCGATTTTACTGAAATTCAATAGCAAACCAGTCTTAGTAGGCTTTTAACTCAATTTGAATAAGTTCAGCTTGTGAAATATTAATTTTTACTCGGCGAGTTGTAGCGACATCCCCCCCCCCCCGCCCTTCCGGGCCCCTAAAACTAGAGATTGTAATTATTACGGGCCATATTTTACTGAAATTCGATGATAAACCAGTCTTGGTGCATCTCTAAATAGGTAGGTACCATCAAAATTTCAGCGAAAATATCTTATGAGGCACCATTTTGCTGGAAAGTAAGATATGCTTCACGATGAGATTGCACACATTTTTCAGGGGCTGCGTATGCAACCCGCAACAAACCTCCGAAACTTTGAAATTTGACTTAAATCTTTTCCCTCTCTAAATTACATAGGTACATAATACATTATTGACAATGTCTGCTTATCAAGACTTATTGGGTGCTTTGTAAAACTTTTAAAATATTCCAAAAAATTATTCATTTTAAAGTTCCATGAAGTTTTTAGGTAATCTCCTGCGACGCTGACAGAAGACCCTTCAACACCTATTGCTTCAAACTAATTGGGCAGCGGATTGGAATTATGAGGATGGTTTTCTCCGCAATATCACTTCGAAAAGGATTAGAAAGTACAAAAGGACATTCTATCCTAAACTCATTACGTATCAAATAATGTGCAAAAATGCAAAAAGGAAAGGCGCAATTAGCAAAAGATCAAAAAAACCTTTCTATGATTCCTCGAAAAATTTCAAATCCGCCTATTTTTATGTAAAAAAAGTTAAAAGAGCTGGAATTTACAATGAAATCAATTGACATTTCATAATTATTACGCGTTAAGGCTTATGCCGCACGGGCCGCCGGAATGGCGCCCTGGGCTCACCAATAAATCGAGAACCTGGCGGGTGTAATGAAATAAATGTAATTTTAAAACGCGAAATAAAAGGTTTACGAAACTTGGTCAAAATATCCCGGATACCATCAGCTTTCATCGACAGTATAGTCTCACACCGCACGGGGCGCCGGAAGGGCGCCAGGGACTCACCAATAAATCCAAACGTGAATTTGAATTTCACGCCCATTTTCAAAGGAATGTAATTTAAAAACGCAAAATAGAAAGTTTACGAAACTTCGTCAAAATACGTAAAATACCATCAACTTTTATCATATATTTAGTCTCACACCGCACGGGGCGTCGGAAGGGCGCTATAAACTCACCAATAAATCAGGAGCCGGAATTCGAATTTCCTGCCCATTTTCAAATGAATGTACTATAAAAACGCTAAATAGAAAGTTTACGAAACTTGGTCAAAACATCCCGGATACCACCAGCTTTCATCGAAAGTATAGTCTCACACCGCACGGGGCGCCGGAAGGGCGCCAGGGACTCACCAATAAATCCAAAACGTGAAATCGAATTTCCCGCCGAATTTTAAATGAATGTAATTTAAAAACGCAAAATAGAAAGTTTACGAAACTTGGTCAAAATACGTAAAATACCATCAACTTTTATCACAAATTAAGTCTCACACCGCACGGGGCGCCGGAAGGGCGCTATAAACTCACCAATAAATCAGGAACTGGAATTCGAATTTCCCGCCGAATTTTAAATGAATGTAATTTAAAAACGCAAAATAGAGAGTTTACGAAACTTGGTCAAAACATCCCGGATACCACCAGCTTTCATCGAAAGTACAGTCTCACACCGCATGGGGCGCCGAAAGGGCGCCAGGGACTCACCAATAAATCCAAAACGTGAATTCGAATTTCCCGCCGAATTTTAAATGAATGTAATTTAAAAACGCAAAATAGAAAGTTTACAAAACTTGGTTGAAATATCCCGGATACCACCAGCTTTCATCGAATGTATAGTCTCACACCGCACGGGGCGCCAGAAGGGCGCTATAAACTCACCAATAAATCAGGAACTGGAATTCGAATTTCCCGCCGAATTTCAAATGAATGTAATTTTGAAACGCATAATAGAAAGTTGACGAAACTTGGTGAAAACACGCAAAATATCATCAACTTTCAGTGCAAGTTTAGTCTTACACCGCACGGGGCGCCGGAAGGGCGCCAGGGACTCACCAATAAATCCAAAACGTGAATTCGAATTTCCCGCCGAATTTTAAATGAATGTAATTTAAAAACGCAAAATAGAAAGTTTACGAAACTTGGTTAAAATATCCCGGATACCACCAGCTTTCGTCTAATGTATAGTCTCACACCGCACGGGTCGCCGGAAGGGCGCCAGGGACTCACCAATAAATCCAAAACGTGAATTCGAATTTCCCGCCGAATTTTAAATTAATGTAATGTAAAAACTCAAAATAGAAAGTTGACGAAACTTGGTTACAATACGTAAAATATCATCAACTTTCAGCGCAAGTTTAGTCTAACACCGCACGGGGCGCGGGAAGGGCGCCAGGGACTCACCAATGAATCAAAAACCGGAATTTGAATTTCCCGCCGAATTTGAAATGAATGTTATTTAAAAACGCAAAATAGAAAGTTTACGAAACTTGGTCAAAATACGTAAAATACCATCAGCTGATATCACAAATTTAGTCTCACACCGCACGTGGCGCCGTTAGGGCGCTATAAACTCACCAATAAACCCAAAACCTGAATTTGAATTTCCTGCCCGATTTCAAATGAATGTAATTTTGAAACGCATAATAGAAAGTTTACGAAACTTGGTCAAAACACGCAAAATATCATCAACTTTTATTACAAATTTAGTCTCACACCGCACGGGGCGCCGGAAGGGCGCTATAAACTCACTAATAAATCAGGAACTGGAATTCGAATTTCCCGCCGAATTTTAAATGAATGTAATTTAAAAACGCAAAATAGAGAGTTTACGAAACTTGGTCAAAACATCCCGGATACCACCAGCTTTCATCGAAAGTACAGTCTCACACCGCATGGGGCGCCGGAAGGGCGCCAGGGACTCACCAATAAATCCAAAACGTGAATTCGAATTTCCCGCCGAATTTTAAATGAATGTAATTTAAAAACGCAAAATAGAAAGTTTACGAAACTTGGTCAAAACACGCAAAATACCATTAGCTTATATCACAAATTTAGTCTCACACCGCACGGGGCGCCGGAAGGGCGCCAGGGACTCACCAATAAATCAGGAACTGGAATTCGAATTTCCCGCCGAATTTTAAATGAATGTAATTTAAAAACGCAAAATAGAAAGTTTACGAAACTTGCTCAAAACATACCGGATACCACTAGCTTTCATCGAAAGTATAGTCTCACACCGCACGGGGCGCCGGAAGGGCGCCAGGGACTCACCAATAAATCCAAAACGTGAATTCGAATTTCCCGCCGAATTTTAAATGAATGTAATTTAAAAACGCAAAATAGAAAGTTTACGAAACTTGGTTGAAATATCCCGGATACCACCAGCTTTCATCGAATGTATAGTCTCACACCGCACGGGGCGCCGGAAGGGCGCTATAAACTCACTAATAAATCAGGAACTGGAATTCGAATTTCCCGCCGAATTTTAAATGAATGTAATTTAAAAACGCAAAATAGAAAGTTGACGAAACTTGGTTAAAATACGTAAAATATCATCAACTTTCAGCGCAAGTTTAGTTTTACACCGCACGGGGCGCCGGAAGGGCGCCAGGGACTCACCAATGAATCAAAAACCGGAATTTGAATTTCCCGCCGAATTTGAAATGAATGTTATTTAAAAACGCAAAATAGAAAGTTGACGAAACTTGGTTAAAATACGTAAAATATCATCAACTTTCAGCGCAAGTTTAGTCTTACACCGCACGGGGCGCCGGAAGGGCGCCAGGGACTCACCAATGAATCAAAAACCGGAATTTGAATTTCCCGCCGAATTTGAAATGAATGTTATTTAAAAACGCAAAATAGAAAGTTTACGAAACTTGGTCAAAATACGTAAAATACCATCAGCTGATATCACAAATTTAGTCTCACACCGCACGGGGCGCCGTAAGGGCGCTATAAACTCACCAATAAACCCAAAACCTGAATTAGAATTTCCTGCCCGATTTCAAATGAATGTAATTTTGAAACGCATAATAGAAAGTTTACGAAACTTGGTCAAAACACGCAAAATATCATCAACTTTCAGTGCAAGTTTAGTCTCACACCGCACGGGGCGCCGGAAGGGCGCCAGGGACTCACCAATGAATCCAAAACCGGAAGTTGACCTTCCCGCCGAATTTTAAATTTATGTCATTTTAAAACGCAAAATAGAAAGTTTACGAAATTTGGTCAAAGTATCCCCGATACCATCAACTTTAAGCACATGTATAGTCTCATACCGCACGGGGCGCCGGAAGGGCGCTATAAACTCACCAATAAACCCAAAACCTGAATTTGAATTTTCTGCCCGATTTCAAATGAATGTAATTTTGAAACGCATAATAGAAAGTTGACGAAACTTTGTCAAAACACGCAAAATATCATCAACTTTCAGTGCAAGTTTAGTCTTATACCGTACGGGGCGCCGGAAGGGCGCCAGGGACTCACCAATGAATCAGGAACCGGAATTCGAATTTCCCGCTTATTTTCAAATGAATGTAATTAAAAAACGCAAAATAGAAAGTTGACGAAACTTGGTCAAAACACGCAAAATATCATCAACTTTTATCACAAATTTAGTCTCACACCGCACGGGGCGCCGGAAGGGCGCTATAAACTCACCAATAAATCCAAAACCTAAGTTTGAATTTCCCGCCGAATTTCAAATTAATTAATTCCCGCCATTATTCGCATAAACGTCGGTTGTCTGGCGGGAAATTTGAACGTTATTGTGATGCAGTGGTAAAAGGAAAGCGGCCTTTACTCGCCTCGTGTGGTAGAAGCAGAAAAAAAAGAAAAGAAAAGAAAAAAAAATGATCACACAATGATATTTCGTTTGGCAGAAGAGTTTAATTTCAGTAATTTCTTGAGGACTTTTTATGTTACCCTCAACGATTGATTATCCAATATTTTCAAGTGATACTTGGAATTTTCTTTAAAATATTTTTTGAATAATATTGCAAATGAACATTAGGAAAAATAATGTATACTATGGGCACCTGACTACTATTATTCTATAAAAGAAGCTCATGAAACTGTTCAATATTCCAAATAAATGGTTCAGCGCGGTAAGAGAATAATATCTTGAAATAAAAGTTCAGAATATTTCGAATATTTTGAGAAAATCAATTGAACTTCATGTTTCATTTTCTAAAGCAAGTTTTAATTAAAATTAGGGTGACTATCCGAATTAAGTCTCCTAATTTATTTTCAGATGTGCCTACTGCACCCATCTTGCGGCTTGTGTATCAGTCTTATTGGAAAGGAATGTGGATTGAACGCTTAATACTTTGAAAATTTGTTATAAGTTTTCTAGGTTCCTTTTTGATTATTTGAAATTAAAAGGAAAATTCGAAAGGATCGACTCAATAGAAAAAAAAAAAAAAAAAAAAAAAAAAAGAAAAAAATCTGGAGTGGCCTTCTTGTGCTCTTTGCAGTTTGTGGCTTAATGCAGAATGAAAGCTGCACTGGGAAAAAGTTCTCAGGGATCCAGAGTCCGAACTCTAAAGAAATTTTGACATGAGTAAATACTCTTGATTCAATGTGACTTTTGCTTGAATCGAGAGCCCAGTTACTTTAGGCGGATTTCATTTTGAATCTAGCAAAAATCCAATTAAATCAAAAGTATTTTTTCTTGTCTAATTTTTTAAAAGTCTGGACTCCGGATCCAAGAGCATTTATTTTCCAGTGTGACCTTAATACGATATTTTGAGCAATTTTTATGATTTTTCTCTGTTGTGTTATTCATTTATATCCAGTTAAACTTTTGCGTAAAATTCAAAGATAGGTATTCAAAACACAGATCTCTTGGCGGGTACAGAAACAAATTGTTGGAGGAATTATGAAATTTGCCGGGAACATGGAAGCGAGTCGTAAGTGCAGTCCTGGATGAGCCTCAAGACACATAGGATCTTGTACTAACCATGGATCATACAGAAATGCATTAACAGCTCTCTTCGCTATCACAACAGATTTAAGCACATCTGTCGCTCAACCCTTCAATGTAGTGCTGTGCTTGCATACTGTCTCTTCTTGTTTTAATGGGCATCCTATGAAAGGAGACTTAGGTGAAAAAAATTAATCGAAAGTGAAAAATAAAAGAACTGAAGAAGAAAAATGCTCCTCCACAATCTTCACTTATTTTTTTTGTTTTTGACAAGAAAGTAATTTTATGCACAAATTTAGATTATTTATGCTTCATTATCTCTCCTTAGGACATTTTGAGTTTCTTGTGCTAAGTAAGATGTTTCATGAACATTCTCAAATTCACTTGACACTTGGAATTAGCGAATAAAAAAAAAACCTCAATTATACCTAGTGGGATGAATGAATGCATCAGAGATGAAAGTACATACTGATATGATTTTATTTAAAAAAAAAATGGGTAACAAGGCAAAATTATGCTTGAACCCAGATCCAAACTAAAATTGAGCCTGTGAATTTCCTTGTTTCTTTTCAAAGACTCATTTTCGGTAATGATTTAGGGGTGCAATTATTTACAATTCAGATAGTTTGTGAAAAAATTAATACTTGTCATGGTGTATGTTGTATGTACAATTGATACGTACATTGACTAATTCCAAATTTGCACAGTGGTACGTAGCAAATGAGAGATTTCTTCCTGACTACATGGCGATAAGAAACCTGAGTGAATTCCAGGGAAATAACTAATTAACATATCACTAGGAAGAGTTTAAGTACAGGCCCTTCAGATCCAGTGTCTTTTTTTTTCACAAAATATTTACGACACTTTGCACCAAGTTTTCAAAGAGGACAAACTAATAATTCACAGCACATTTAGAACAACATCTCCATACACACAGATGTGTGCAGGGAGTTGAAAATTAAATTTTTAAGTAACAATAACAATAATCTGTACATGAACTAGTATTAACTTGGTGCGCTAGTATTACCTAAAAATAAATTGCTTTCTGACTAAATGACAAAAAGAAGGATATTGGTAACAATTGAAGAAAACAGACTAATTAGCACACCAGTGGATAAGGCTCAGGGACTATATTGCTTCAGAACCATCGCTTTTTCTTCCTCACCAATTATTTACGTCACTTTGCATCAAGATTCCAATAAAAAGGAACTAATGAGTTTGATATACTTACAAGTTTGTCACCTTCGTACAAATAGTATCGGATGAAAAGTCACATTGAACAACAGAACTTTTAAAGCAAACACTACAGCAGGAAAGTCATGGTAACACTGAATATTTGAATCTATTCATCTTCAATGGAGCATTAAAAGACACTCAGAAAAAGGTTTACTGATTATAAATTATTTATGAGACAGGAAAATAATTGCTAACTGTCCCTAGTATGATGTGCATAAGTCAATACAGAGAACTACATTCTAGGAAGTAAACAATTCGATAGTAAAGACACTTATTGCCATAAAACTACTGAGGCTTGAAATAAAGATAGTTGCATCCATTTTCTTTTCCTTATTTTCTTGACGAACACGGCTAATAAGGAGTTACTCATACCAACCATGCCCTGATAGCAATGATTGCCTACGAGTTGATATTTAGGTGAAAAAAGGAAATTTCTCAGGATCTGCCTGTAATATATCACAAACATAGGTCATTGCGAGAGACTACAGGCTGAGGATACACAAGTCAAAGGCAAAGAAAAGAAAGGCTCAACAATGCCGGGACTACAAAGACCCGAGATAGGGCAATCATGAGACGTATGTAAAATCACTTTTGATTACAATAAGAACAGAATTTTTTCAAAATATGCATACAATATACAATCAGGATATCAGATTCCAAAATTTTTAAACACCGAAATTTGGAAACAAATGCTGGTATGTAGGGCAGAGAATCTCTGAGGCATATTAAATAAATTGATGAAGATTGTTTTGAAGATAAAAACATTTAAAACGTTAATATGGCAGTACATAATCACAAGAGCCCAGAAATAAGGAAACGGCCCGGTACGTTTGGAATTCTTTCACGTGCTTCTTAATAGCACAATCTAAGATTAGCAAGCTCTGTAAGGATTTTTCAATAAATACGTAAAATGGACTACACAAGATTCTAAAATGACTAAAATTATTAAGTACTACTAAAACTCACTTGCATTTAAAATAAATAAAATTGGACTGGTTTCGAGGGCATTTCTTCCTCTTCAGTGAACACCAACTGCCGGTGTTCACTGAAGATGAAGGAAAGCCTTTAAAACTAGTCCAATTTTATTTATTGTAAGCGAAAGTGAGTTTTAATGGATCTTAATAATTTTAGTCATTTCAGTAAGATGTGGTCATTTTTGGTCACAAAGATTTACGTAAAACTGACGAGGTTGCAAAGGTCAAAACTTCAAAAGAAGTAATTGTCATTGGCAATTTTTATGGCAAAAGAGGATGCTGTATTGGCTGCAAAGTTATCAGATCATTCTGTGAAGATGTGCTCAATGACAGCGGAGCTTACATTTTTAAAGTATAAGAGCAGAGTGAGTTAAACATTTTTAAACAGATTCAATCAACTCAAAATACCCATACTAGGCTCAATGGACTTGAAGGTTAAAATAAATTATCGACTCTGTAATAACAAAGCAGATGCAAACAATGAGGATGAAGAAGGTGGACATGTGTTGAGGGTTTTCTTGTAGCAGATATCATTAGATCCTCAAAACAGAAGTAGTATCTTATTTAAAGTTAGCACTGAAATTCAACGTTCAGAGATTCACATAGCCTTTGGAAATCTTTTGATGTGAGCATCATACGTGGAATGTCAGCAGCACTGAGATTTGCTGCTCTCAAGGCTTGGCTAACATCTTCTAATGTGAAGCTGCGTTTTGGGAGAACCTGTGGGCAAAAATTGATAACATTAAAATATTATAGGAGCAAGATGTAATGCATTTTACAGAGGGATTTGATTTAAGGTGCGTTGTTTTGGCGTGATTTTCTTGTTTTATTATTACTCTGCGCCTTCTTGTTTCTATCTGTACCCACAAAACAGAGCTATTTTTGGCAAAAATTTCTGGTCAATGAGGTAAGACAAGCATGAGAAAACACAAATCTCAAAGATAGTAAGTATGTAAATTAGAAAAAACTTCAAAGATAGCAGGTGTGTCAACTAAATAAATAATATTAGAAAGTCTTTTAAATTAAAAACTGAATTTCCTTAAATACTTTAAAAGTGAGCTGTCATGAAATAGACTTTTTACTTGCGTAAAAGAGACACCACAATAATTAAAATATCAGTTGCAGCTGTAGGAAAAAATTTTGATAAATTTTAACGGTAGGACTACTTCACTTATGATCCTAACTACAATTTCCTAAATTTTGTACAAAATCCTGCGAGCGAGTTGGGGAAAAATATCAATTTTAGAACATTCCTGCCCTGGGCTCGATAAAAGAAATCTGAACCTTCTTTTGTTAGATACATAACATGCATAAAAGTCGTTTCTGCAACGCACTGTAGCATTTTGCAACACCGCTCTGCGTTCTGTAGACACATGAATTTAATATTTGATGCAACCCTTTGAGTCATCTGCAGCCTTTATTTGAAGTTATGATTTTCACACAGGAATAAACAAACACTGCAAAGGAGCAATAATAGTGGTGTAAGAATAATTCTAATTTTTGCACAAAAACATTGCATTTCAACACCACTCCAAGAAACACTGAAAAAAATTTTAAGTTTTCAAGAATTTGAGACACATCAACTCAAAGAGGTGTATTGTTGGCTTGAGGCTCGAGGTATCTTTGTGGCGATTTTTATAAATTTACATGCTATTCCACGGATTTTGTCATAGAGATGTGTGAAAAGTTGACCAACCCCTACTTGGTGTATAGACATCAAAATGCACAACTTTGGAGACGATGCTCTCAAAACTTAAAAACTTGACATCCACTGTTGATACATGTATGGCTAGACATCGAAAAATTTCACCGCTGCGATTCGCCGCGAAATTTTTAAAATGTGCTTAGGAATTTGAAAACCAGACAGAAGCACCGATCAAAACACCCTGATCACGAAAATGTAAAGCGAAATAACGCGAAATCTGCCATTTTCCGGATTTATCGCGAAATCGCGCGGAATCGGCGAAATCACCGCGGAATCATCCAAATTTATCCGCGAAATCGGCGAAATCCGTACATTTTCGTGAAATTTACGTATGTATGCTTGTAAGACGAAGTTTGCCGCGCTTTTTTTCAAAATAAGAAATTACGGAGTTGTTTCTGAGCATTGGTCGTCATTGGCTACAAGCTATCGACGTTCGCCTATGGCATCAAAATACTAATGAAAGAAAGGGCGGCAACCAAGGCATAAACATGACCTCAAATAATTTTAACATGTGATCATGTGAAAGCTATATTTTAAACTGTCAAACGCAAAAAGCGCTACAAAAATAACGGCGAAATCAGCAAAATTAACAGCGAAATTCGGGGAAAATAACCGCGAAAACGGGGAAAAATAAAAGCGAAATTTTCCAATGTCTGCATATGGCTTCAGATTATGCTTAGCTAAAGATTTACTTCTAAAAAGGAGAGTCAAATATTACCATTTTTCAGTACTTTAGCAATTCAGCAGTCAGCATACATATGAAAGAGTACAACAATACGGCCATGCATCTGAAAGAATCAAGAGAAAGTGTAAGTGACAACGGTGAATTTGCAAGGGTCTGAAATCTGATGAATTTCATGTTTAAGTGGAAACTTTTAAGGGAACTGAACACGAAGATACCCTTGATTCGTAAATTGAGCAATTATTAGAGGAGATATGACAAAATAACCGATCCTGCTAAAATACATGTGTTTAAATGGGAAATGCCGCCTGATGACGTCAAACGGCAGCACACTTTCTCACTTTTAAATCGATCTTTCTCCAATTTCCCATGTCAGAAAAAAATTATGAAAAATACTGCGAACTCAGCTCATTAGGCACTTTCAGACGAAGCAAATACATTTTTTTGTGCAAAGTCTCCACTGAATAGGACTCAGTGGACATTCAGGTTGATAGGGGTTCATATAAGATGTTGTCTTAAAGGTTTTTTAAATGTCAGATTTAGATTTCAAGAAGTCCCATTACAGATACGAGACGTTAAATGCGGACATCGCTTAAAAATAATTATTTCAGTTCAAAATGGCAATTTTCTTGAACATTAGCTTCTCCTTACAGCAAATAGTGTCAAAGAATCCATGATCAGTATTGATTGACTATCGCAAATTGCTCTTTTGCTTCAAAATCAGGGTTGGCGACGCGTCACCAACCAGACATTTTTGACCTTTAAAGTCTCATGTCATTGAATGTTATCATATTGCATCATATTTTTTAGCATGGATAAGTTCAGAGACATCATTTCTATTGATGTATTAACTTGGTTTTTAATTGTTTTGCCCTAAGTCGTTTATAACCCGTTTCATTGTCGTTTCATTGTAATTGACCTGTACAATAGCTCTACTAGGAGCTTACATTTCTGTACCAAAGATCAAATCAAATAAATAAATAAACCCACGGCAATACGACTATTCCTCTTATCTTGAAATCAACCATGTGTCATAAATTATTACCTGAATTTGATGGGCGATACAGTTTTGAGACAGACATTCACTCCCTGTGAATCCCATTATCTGAACATAACTTTAAAGGAAAGTTAAAATGTCTCTGATCAAAAAAATTTTAGTTATACCATAGTAAGTAGCCTGAATACTAGGATTCTCTTCAGGGATAGTTTAGTATTTGCTGTTCTATTATTATCTTTTACCTCATGCAATAATAGTACCTACTGTGCTAAACTTTTGCGGGTCCTACGGTTATGCTAGAAGTTTCTGTGGTTGGGGCATACATGAATATAAGTGATGCTACAGATGGAAAAAAAGGAAGAAAAAGTTTTTGATAATTTCTTACCTGATTTCGATCCTATCTCCAAACCAGGGAATTAAGGCTTTAGATCTATGCACTGAACTTCGAAACTTATATTCTTTACTCTGCATTGCTTTTTTCATAGTTCGGCTGCTCATAGAGTTGTCTTGCAGTTACCGTGCTCCACGACAATGTAAGTAGAAAGAGGAATTGGACGAGCTGTATTGAATGTTAGGCAATTCTTAGACCCTGAAATACATTGGTAATTTGAATTAGACACAGTTACAGCAGTATTCACTTAATTATTCCTGGTATATTATGATATAATACGTAGTAATGATTTTGGAAAGAATGAGCAAACCAATGGTAGGTATGGGTTTCACAAAATTCTGAAATTGCTCTTCTCATAGGATACTGTTTGCTTTATCTATTTACTAAATGCAACTGAAGTTCTCATTGACATTTCAAGATTGCTGAGTGTTTGGTGCAAACATTAGATATTCATTTGTAAATATACAAATAATTGGGTGATTCAAACAAAGTCTAATGATGCCGACACTATGGCAAAATTCCACCGAAGGGTTCCAAGTTGACCTAAAATAATGTTCCAGAAATGACTATAAATTCTCTTGTGGTCTTCACGATATATCTCTTCTAATACTATATGTTATGCTTGATATAACATTTTTATAACTCTTCACGGTGAGATAATGTTCCTTCGATAAAAAAACATGGGCAGGTATTCTCAGTCATTAGTAGGTTAGTTTAGAAAGAGTGAAGCTGTGTTGTTGAAGTAGATAAATCTGATTCCGTTTGGTTTTCCTGTTTGCAAACGCAACCTCACGGTCCCCATTAATCTCCAGCAGGCTGATTATTGAAAGTTTAAAGCAAACCCCATAAGATATCGTATTGCGATATATTGCATGGTTAAGATAGGGCTATGTCTTGTCGTGTCGGACAGAAGGAGTTTCAATAATCCGGCCACAGAGGTTGATTAGCGTTCAATAGAACTGTTAGGCATTCATATTTACCCGCACAAGTCATCGTGTAATTCAAACGGAGTCCAACAACAACAACCGCTTGTGATTAGGTAATTCCATTTAAAAACGGTCCCAAATAGTTAACTTCGACAACGCAGCTTCATTTCTTGTATGCTGTCCCTTTTTCATGCACATGGTCTCACTCAGTATTTTCATGCATGCATATCTCAAAAAACTTACCTTCTGGAGTCTTGATGCGACACCATGGAAATTGAGCTGCACTTGTAGGAGTTGAATCAGTACTAATAAAAAAACACACTCAAGGCGAGGACATTGAGGACAGTTGCAGGGCGGCTCACCACCAACAACATTGACATTTGAAATCCAGATCCTGCTTTCAAGGTAGCAGAACTCAGGATAGATTTGGATTGGAGGCATTTCTTACTTCATAGAAATTAGTAAACTTCACAATAGTATTACATTTTTATTTACTGCCATTTCCCTTTGAATTATAGGCAAACTAAAGACTCACAATCAGTGCACTGCTACACGCGATTTCAGCTTGAAAACATATAAGTAACCGTTCGATGTCGTTCAAATTTACATGCAAATGCAACCCATGCCGTTGCCCATGCTTCTGGTGAATTCTTATCAGTATTCATTTGGGATTGGGAACCACTCATTGCCACTATATGTTTACATTTTGTTTCGATATATATCGATATGTACTGGGTGTTCAAAAAGTAGTAGTTTCTTGGCAGGGATCTTCATTGGCAGCTTCACGGACGTCCAGTTTTGCGGTTGTCAGTTGCTTGTGCCAGGGACGAGTTCTATAGGACGCCGTTCTGTTGTGAGCGGGTGATTGCAGCGCATTCTCGCGTAGGATCCTAGTCAACTCAGAGGATCCTTCCCCCCGAACCTCGACTCATCCATCGCCCGCTCCAAAAGTGAGGTTAAGCTGGAGATTGAAAAATAACACATAAGGCGGCTGAATTCTTGAAAAATAAGTATATTTTTGGCGTTTTTCGACCCCTTTCGTCAAGGAAGGGCCCGCCGCATGTATTTTTACGGTGAAAAATTCGATTTTTTGCAGTTATACGCGATCCTACGGATTTTAATGAAGTCCAACAACTGATAACAGCAGTGAGTTGCGAGGATCCTACGCGAGAATGCAGCACTAGTACCTGCTCACGAATTTTTACATTGACTCTTACGGGAGTCCAGCGTCCTATAGAACTGGTCCCTGCTTGTGCGACGCAAATGGTTCTGATTTAGTAGTAAAATATTAAATTAGACTATAATGCTGCGAGAATGTCATTTGGCAATTGAAAAATTCAGAAGTTTTGATTATTTAATTCATGCTTGAACATGGTGGTTAGTATAACTGACCACCGAGCAGGTGGCTATAGGAGCTGGAACTGGATTCTTGTTGCTTTATTTTTTATTATTATTTTATCAGTACTTTTTATGATTATGTTCATTACTTTTAATTATTGACCGAAATTATTATTTTAAAATTGCTAGTCTTATGTGGGAAAGGACCATTATCGTTGCATTTTGAAGAAATGAATTTATTTTATTGTGACTAGTCTTTGATTGCCTCCTTACTTATTCCAGTTACGCTCATATGTTCTTCACTTCAAGCAGTTTTATATATTTCTGCTTTATTTATACTCTTTTATAATAAATTATACATTTTTCTAAGACTAGCTTCACTCAATTTCCAAAAACAGAGACTCTATCACTTACAAACATGTAAGAAAAAGTGAAAAACTTACAAAATCTACGGAGTCAACATTTATAATTCACTGGTAAAGTTAGTATGGAAGGTAAGGGAAGGTCTGCGAGGGGAGGGTTGGGTGCTTGGAGGGCAGAAATTGACTGTCTTGCGCGGATAGGTAGAGACAAGGATCATTTTTTACACAAAAATAGAAAAAACACGAAAATTATATCCACATAGGTGAATAGGAAATTTGCGTATTCCTATCCTGTTCAGTGGTCAGTCATACTGACCACCCTTTTTTGTCAAAATTTCCGGGTAAAAAAAAGTCAAAAAAAATTTTTTTCACTAATTTTGAGTTATCTAGACCCAAGAGGCCTTAGAAAACTCGAAATTTCAAAACAAAAGTTCGAAACCCATAATGTGTGCAGGTAAGGGTTAAAGTAGCGATATGCAATGGATTACTTTATGCAGAATCTGGAATATCTTGAGTTGAATAAATATGTATGTACATAGGCGGTTCTAGACTTTCATGCTTGGGGGTGCCCAGAGGTGGAAAATGTCGGAGACCGGTTCCGAAGGGGACGGTCGCTCAGGGGAGGCCCAAGTTTCGGCCCTCAAGTTTTATCCCTTCCCTACCCTCCTTTCTCTTTTTTCCCCCCTTCCTCTCTACTTAAATACCTATAAATTCAATGTAGAAAATTTGTAGCAAAACTTTCCATCAAAACTACAATCTTACCATAAAAAAAAACAGTAGAATCTTTGTAAAACACGGCTATCAATATTAATTCTGTTGAAAACATTTTCAATTGATTGCTGGGATTTTTACTCAGTGTGAGCGAATATATAGAGTCTTTAAAAGCAGTAATTTCACGGTTCCAATAACCGTACTTAATTTTTGCTTGGGGGTGCCCGGCACCCACTGGCACCCCCGTAGAACCGCCTATGTGTATGTAGCTTCATAAATCTGTATTTTATCTAATTTCTTGGTGTTATCACTGATTAGGGCCACTAATCGGGGAGGGAACGCTCCCTCTTCCCTGCATCAAAAGCTTGGTCTTTAATTAGAAGGAAAAGGGTTGGTCATTTAAACATATTATTTAGGATTTCTGAAAGTTTGTGCTGCACTTATTAAGCTGCTCCCGAAGGAAAGATTGCTCCTTCCCCCTAACTTATGGCTAGAGAGGCCCGCACAAATATGACCAAGATATGTATAGCCAAAGCGAGAAAAAGCGTATCTTCATTCGCAACTCCCTGTCATGTTTCACATTTCTTTGGAAAACTAGTCGGCATAATTACTTAAAAATTTCCTTGATTTTTCTTCTCTGTTAGCGGAATATTCTATACCTGTCTAAGTATCTTCTCAAGCCTAAGCTGGCTTACTTCTCTTTGAAGAAGCAAAAGAGGTGTGGAAATTTTGAAACACTGCAATGGAGATGTATACATGCGGTTCATTGATATATTCTGCTTAAATGTAAAAACCTAGAGAGGCCACTACACATACACAAGGTCTGAACATAAAAGAAAGTCATGTGTTCCCTCTTTAAAATCTTATGCTTAAAATGATGTACACGACCTGGAGTTCGAAAATTAACTCCTGAACGAGATACTGACAAATATTTTCAACACAAATCAAATAGAAGTTAAATCATAAAAAAATAACGTCACTTGTATTTTCTTCATTTAACCAAAGTTACTTGTTAACTCTCATACCTACCTTGTTTAGGAGTTGTTTTTTAATCTTTCTTATCTGTGATTCATCAGATTTTAAAGAGACAACTTAGTATTTCAATTCATACCTTGTAGAGAGGCCCATTGCTAAAATTCAATTTTCTTGGATCTGATTTTTATCTTTTCCCTCTAAACTATAAAAAAACTTGATATTCAGTGAGAACGTTACCTATTATGAGTAATGTTAAGGCTTATTCTACTATTAATTGAAATAAAAAACGTGGAGAGTGAAATAGGTAACTTAAAAAATCTTTGTAATGATTAGAAGTAAAATACCACATATTTTTTTTTCAGTGCTTACGCATTTAATTGAGAAAGAAGAAAACATTATTAATTATTAAATATTTGCTAAAGTAAGAAAAAAAATCTTTGAATAAGTTTATAAAATGAAATATCAGCAAAATACACTACATTCTGCAAGACAAAAAATTATAATAAGTTTAAAAGGAACAAAAATTATTAACTATTAAACAGTCGTAAGTAAAAAAAGACAAGAGAAGGAAAAAATAATGTGAGTAAATAAGTTGGTATAAGATGATTAGGTACGGTAAGATGGTCTCATCTAAAAATGTAAACTAGAATAATGCAGTTATTACAATTCTTTTAACCTCCAGCAATCAATGGTAATAATTCTGAATAGTCAAAAAATTTTGGCAGGTCATGTAAAAAAGGAAAAATAGATGTGGAAACTAGCAGACTGAAGTAGCCCACTCTTTAATGGCAGGCATGAGGTCCGGAAAATTCTTGACAGCTTCTTGAACTTGTTCATTTGTTACGTTGAAACGGTACAGATTAAAATCCTTCAAGACCTCTTTAGAATGTATATTCACCGGACTTATCAATTCTAAGTTCTACAACAAGAAAATAAAAAAATTAAAGAGGATTCTTTTGAGCTGATTCTTTTTATTATGAGAAGCAAATATAAACATGGGTTGACTACAAAAAAAATAAATAAATATAATAAACCTAAAATCACCCTTTTTAAAGGAATAAGAGAGTGGGATCACTTTCGGCAAAAGAGCAAAAACCACATTTTAAAAATTTAAAAAAAAAAAAAAATCAATTAATTTTTTCAATCCCTCCTATTTAGTGTAATTAAAAAGAAAAAGCAAGAGGGAAGTACTAAAACGCTGAGTTGTAAGCGTTTGCTCGTCTTTTTTAACTAGATGATAATGGGGTCGGTGACGCCCACGTTTTTTGATTCATTTTAAAGTTTTATGAATTTTTGACATTCTTTTTAACCCTGCATGGCGAAACCCCATTTTGAAAATGACACAAATTGGACCCGTTTGAAATAATATTATTGGCAGGCCCTGATATTGTAGCTAGGCGTTGGAAACGGCATTAGCCGATTGGCTGAACTCATATTCAGGAATTGCTTTAATGCATCAACTCCACTGTCGACTTTTGATTGGGCGGATTTTGATTAGCTTTTACTTCCCGTAGAAATGATTTTCTGAACTTCATGATGAACTTCTGGGGTTTTCCCAGAAATACATAGGAAAAAATATACTACAATCCTATAAAAATTCCTTGCCACTGATTCGCTCAGAAACAATAGGTGATACAGCGAGGAAGAGATGGAAAATTTCCTCTTCAGATAAAAGAATATTCAAGAATACATAGGAATTAGGATACTCACGATTAATTTTTGGAATGCTTTCAGAAGAACCGCACGTGATGATTGAACTAGGACACTGCATTCATTGGTAAATTTCTGATATCGGCGATAGACCATTCCGAAATTAAACGGTTCATCATCATACTGGTTTGTCTGGTGATTCATCGCAATCACCTGAAACAATTTGATAAGTCGATTGAAATACAAAACTTGAAGAAAAAAGCACAAAATATGTACCGGTAAATTTTACTGTCCAGTCTCTACCGTTTTCACTTTTAATTGCGCTCATGGAGTGAAGCTTAAAATTTCAGAAGATGCAGCCAATTTTACATTGCTGGAATACAGATTAAGGGACCAAAAAACTGATAAAAGAAGAAGGGCATCAAGAGGTGCGAGACGTGTACTTGATGATGGGTGGGAGAAGGGATCAACCTGACGTTCAGCTTAAATTGGTGAGGAGTGCCCCTCTTATTAAAGACAAATCCAACCAAAAACAGTGCCGAACGCCGATGATGGATGATCGCTACATTGATTCTTTTCTTTTCTTTTTAAAGTAGAAATCATGAGTGAGTATCAAACTTATGAGTAAAACTATCCGCATACCCAAGAAAAGATGATAACAGATGCCACAAAAATAAAGAATGATAAAATCAAAACAAGAAATAAAAGAGACATCGAAAAATTTCAGGGGACTTGAGCTGTGTGATTCGATTATACTGCTGTAACCAAAACCGCTGTGTCACTCCTGCTGTGAACTACTGATGGCTAACTCATGAGTTTTTTAGCAATATAGGGGAGTCTGGGAAACGCAGAGACAGGCTGTGAATGGGGAGGTTGCAAATTAAGGAGAGGGAAAATTTAAAAACCCTCCGATTAAATGGCAGAATGAACAGCCAAGAATATATCACTAAATCCTTCCAGGTTTATAAATATGATGATAAAATGAGGTGCTTACAAGACATAATTCCAGTACTGATAGTCCTCTAAGTGCAAAGACTGTAAAATCTCTGAATGTATCATTAAATATCCGGATGATGAGGTCTGCTGTGAGGAACTGATGATGCACCAGATCAATCTCTGAAATGACCATCAACTACAAAAAGAGAAAGAAAAAAAAAGGGCTAAATGTAAAGATACACAAAAAAGTGCTACAAAAATGAGATAAAAAGGGCAGTGTTTCTAAACAAGTATGCTTTAATTATTTGAGACAAAATCCACTGAAATAATATCTCTTAATTATATATTTTGGATTTTTGGAAATTATCCATAGATGAGATTATTCTGAAAGATCTCAGAGTAACTCTTTTAAAAAAATCACATCTCAAATCTTAAATGTATGTGAATGAAAAGGCAAAAATATGTCAACGACTTGCACGCATGTCCATAATTCGATAATCACAAACGGAACTTCATATTTGAATTCAAGGACATCACAACGTTTTCATAGATCTTTGCTGAGCTTCACAATCAGACTTTGCGCTGCTTAAAGGTGAATCCAGGCTTGGAACTTTGCAATTTGGCCACCACGTCGCGCTGCTCAGAATAGCCGTGCATATTTGCCAAAAGAATAAAAACCGTAATACTTATTCAAGATTGGAGATCCAGGAGATATCGCAACATACTTGAGAAACACTCAGTAAAAAAATCTTCTCAAAATTCCCAAACATTAAGTCTTAACTACGGCGGAAAGAAATCCCCATTGCGCCAATGGGAGAGAGAGAGAGACAGAACATGAGGGATTCTGTTGCCCGCTCGGCCGCCACCGCTGAGCTGAAAGTTTTAGCCGTACTTCCTCTGCGCTTGTAATTCTAATTGTCAATATTTTGGGCTCAAAAAATCAAGCAAAGAATAATCTACATCTTGTGGATCTGCTTCTTGTAATTTGAGGAATATTATTTCAGCAATTGTTGAAGGAAAGTGAAATTCTCAGTGGTGACTGGTGGCGCTATCTCTAATCTTGAATTATCCCTAATCGAACCCTGGATTCACCTTGGGATGAAAACCCATATGAGTTTGAAACAGTTTCAAAAGAGAATTTGAAAAAGGTACTCCAAGAGTATCAATTAATTTATGACAAAATCCTTCATGATCATTATTTTTCATTAAAAATTATATCTACTTGATTTTAAAAAAAAAAGAAAAAAAATTACAATTGAACATTCAGACATTCGCTTTTGCGCCTGCTTCCTGATGTGCCCTGACTCCAGCTTTAAGAAGTCAAAGAGAAGATGGAAAATTGTGACGAAAGTTAACTTTTAACTTCCTTTTCAAAATCAACATTGATTTAATTAAAGAGCAGTTTACCATAGTATTCCTAAAAGCTTGTTCATTTTTATCAACACCAAACTGTCTTTTCAAGACCTCAATGACCTTAGGATTGTCTATGACTTTTTGGACTTCCTCGTGCCAAAGATGCTTGAAAGTACTTGGACAATCTTTGGAATCACCTATATCTACATCTACATCTTCATCTTCTAACGTTACAAAATGCTTGAACAGCTCGAGTCTGTTGTTGAAATCATTCGGCGGATACAAGAATATCTGGTTATGAGAGAATCTTGATTTGACACGCTTTTCGAGCAACTGTGTTACTTCAAAGCAAGATGTTACGCCAATGACACACACTGGCACCTGAAAAATCAAAATTAAGATTAAATTAGATACATTTCTGCAAATTCGAACAGATGCATACAATGTTAACTTCAATATTGGAAAGGTTCAAATCAGATCCAAACTGAAAACTGTGGGGATTCAAGTCTTCACGGCTATGTATTTTGATTTTGTATCGGCGCGGAACAAATAACACAAGAGCCGAACAACATTCTTCGTCTCTAAATTTTGCACTTTTCATCTTGAAAATAATCATTATCAATCCTCGATGTTCTGAGTCCCTAGGAAATAAAGGAGAATGTGATTGAGGGTTGCAGTGCAACAATTTTGAAAAATGAAAAGGAAATTTTTCAGCAGGTGTTGTGGCCTTTTTTAATCAATTCCCCAGACCAACTATTCTTAGGTTACCTAAATATTGTTACCCAAATAAAAATATATGATGATATATAATAAAATATTAAATATATGATGATAATATAATGATGGCCATTTTGAGGTTTAGCTTTGAGCTTGCCTCTAGATCCAACTGTGCTCAGAATCTGCCACATATTCGCTGTCAAACCAATAACATCTTGTCTACTCATAAAATTAATGTGTGTTTGAAAGAGAAAAATTGAACGATGGGAAAGCTGCCATTCCAAAACTTTTGAAAGAAAAACTTGGTGGTATCTCAAACTCATTCTGGGCCAGAACAATGCTGTAGGCCTAACTTGGGTGGAACCTGCAAGGAAAGCCCAGAGGTAGGGTCGGGTCAGAGTTTTTTTGGAACTGCGGTGCAAATTAAATCCTTCTGGAGCATAAGGGTGTGCTTATACAAACTCATTATTGGAGGAAAATGAATCAGCAGAGGCCTGAAATGACAAACCTCCAACTGCTGAGCTGATTTTGTTGATTCTGCCAATTGGAGATGAGTTGCCTGAAAACTGAACTTTCTTTCTTTATGTACCATGCTCAGATTTTAAATTTTTATCTTAAAAACACAATGAAAACATTTGATAAAGTTATTTACTCTTCATACAATTTTCTTTGAAGACAGAAAAAACCAACCTTAGTTGATTGCGAAGCATCCATCAAAGTATATAATAAAGTCTGTTTCCGGTGAGAGCAGAACAGCTGAAATTCTTCCAGAATAAAAACAATTGGCCTATCTACAGTAGACGAATCATTGATCAAAGTTTCTAAAATTGCAGTCAAATTACCTGGAAAAATCAAGAGAGTAAAAACAAAAGGTATTTCCACCTGACAATAAACGAATGTCACAGCACAACACAACAGGATTCTGCCTTATATGCCTGAAAAATGGGCTTTGGTGCTTAAAAATTAGGGGAACAGAGTGGCACTTGAAAAAGTTGATGCACCATTGAATTTCATGCACAATGATGCACGTGCAAAAAGTTAATTTTGCTCCTAAAAAATTTTAGAACCTAACAAATGCACTTAAAAACTGCGCTCTGCTGCCAAGGTGGCTTTTAAAATTTTAGCAGAAGGGTAGAACACTGCAACACAATATTGCTTGGTCATTTTGGAATAAAAAGCCGAAGGTCCTGCTACGCAATTTCCGTGGGTCAAAGTCCTTGCTGATGCACCAAGGTACATAGCGTTGAATAGGAGTTAAAAACACAAAAAACTGAGTTAATGAAATACTGACCAGCAAAAGATCCAGAGGCTTCTTCAACAATAGATTCATCAGCATTTAATGTTTGAACGATTTCTTTTAGAGCAAGGTTGTCGTCTGTATGGATAAGACCATTTAATTTCACAAGGAAGAAGTCATGCTTTTCTTGTAGTTCTTTCAAAACAACACTGACCAGCTGAAACAGTTAAATTAAAATGTTGTGTTGATATGTAATAAATTTAATACACTCACAAACATTTGGGGACTCTTTTGTAGAAGATACCTACCTCCTACCCAAGGACCTTCTTGGCGCCTTGAAAAGGGGGAAGCAAAGGAGTGTCTTGAGGAGGAGACAAGGTTGAAGTTGACACGTATTTGACATGAAAGGACTAGGTGCAAAAAATGTCTATCTTGGTTGCTACGATCAAGTCATTTGGCCAAGGATCAATCTGTGTTTAGGTAAGGTGTTAGTATCAATGCCTCTCACATGCTCCTCAGTTACAGGATTCTGTCTGCAGCAGCCTGATTGTTGAAATTTTGTGTTTGTCGGGTAGAAATGGATGACATAGGCTAAATGGCAGATCGTCATTGGTCAGCTACGTCTTACCATTGCTTTGTCGTGCTTCGTCGGGTGGAATGGACAACATACTGTTTGATACTCAAGAGGTGCCTAGTTAGTCTTCCATTCCAGCTGACAAAGCAGCAATAAGACATAGCCGACCAATCTTGCTTCGCCATTTAACTTATGTCATCTACGTCCACCCGACAAGCACAAAATTTCAACAATCAGGCTGCAGGCCGAATACTTAAAGTTTAAGGTAGCTCCATAACATATTGAACTTTGATACATTGCATGTTTAAGATAGGATTGTGTACTGTCTTGTTGTCCCATCATAGTTTTGCGGTAGCTGTACAATTTTAGAGAGAAAAAAGGAGGTGGTCTCATCTTGAGGATTGTTTACACAGAGATGTAGGTAAGTAGAGAACGGTGTTGATTTTCCAGCAAAATCCAAAATTTGAAGTATGAAAAACGAACCATGGCGTCTCTTTTATTTTACTTTGATCAACTCAAAATTTACAGTCAAATATGTAGGTAAGACTTCCCTCCATAAACACCATTTCTAAGGAAACCCATGATAATGACCGTCCTTGCCATTTACCTGGTGAGGAAGGGTCTATAATGGAGAGAAGTGTGATGAAGAATATTACTTGCATCCACTATTAAAAACTTCACACCTTACATAACTGGCCTTTCAACTGCAGTTACTTACCTTGGTTTTACCACTTCCAGGTGGACCGCAAATCAGGGCAGAATCACTTTCCCCGAATTGAACAACTCTGGTGATCAAATTCGTTAGCTGGGTTCGTTGTGCCGGGCAACCTACAAGTTCTGAGGAGTTTCTGATTTTAGACTTCAGACGGCGTCGCACAAGTGGGACCATTTTCGTTATATGACCTCCGAAAAATTCATCCATGCTTAATTTCTTTGAAACTGTAGAGATGAGACTTCTGCCTTTGAATTACTTTGAAACACTAGCACAGTCTTAAAGTTGTTTCAGGATTTTGCATGAACAGGGCTCGAGGGATGTGAAAACGAGGCTTAACACTGAATTTTAAGGAACATAGCTCCAGGCGAACAGGCTCGCAAAGAAATTTAATTATAAAGAATAAAAATTAAAACTATAGCAACTTAATTGTTTCTTGTTGAAAAGACAGACAGAAGAAAACAAAAACAAGGCGCAACACGTTGTTTGTTGTGTTTACTCAAATCTGATTTTTGATTGGCTGAGAAGGAAAACTTGAGAGTCACGTGATTCTAAAGAAATATTTTGATTGGTATAATTTGACACGTTTGATTTGTTTATGCATGTGAATTTTTGAGGTTAGAAAAAGCTCATCAGTTATCAGTTATCAGTCTCGGTGTTTCATTTGAATATAATTCTCGTACTGACGGTATAATCATCCGCTAGAATTATTAATGCTTATCCTAGATATTTGAATACTTCGTAAATTTTTCATTTATACTTTTACCGGTGTCTTGAGCCTTGGTTTGTTCTTTCAGACTGTTTGTTTCTGGTTCCAAATGGCAACCATCGCTGACTTGAAAAAACAAGAAAAAGAGAGAAAGAGGAAAGAAAAGCAGAAGAAAGATAAACAGAAGAAAGTGAAAATATTACTCTCAAAACCTGCTGAAAATAGGTAAATGTTTTATAGTGACTCATTTGACGGAAAGACTTTCCTTATTTTTGTGGGATTGTTCCAAGTTTTCAGCTTGATCAGCGATGTTTTGCGGGGCATGTATGTATGTTTTGGTTTTGAACCCCTCTGTTTTAGAATACACGTGATTGAATATTAATTCCAAGTGTTTGACACAACTAAGTAAGTGTCTTTTTTTCACGGAGCACTGCACTGCTCCTTCGAACAGTGAATCCTCACAATCCCTAATGTGGAAAGATTTTTCAGCATCTTGGAACAAGTAAACATCCATTTCTGCACAAAGATGATAGATTTCTGCTCCTGCTATCTCCTCCTTATGGCAGCAGAGAAAGTAGTAACTGATAACCTTTTGCAGGAGGATCTCACAGACGATTTTTCCCCACCTCAGTGAATAACGGGGCCATCTCGCCGCCTCCATCTCCTCTCCCCCCCCCCCCCCCCCCCCCCCNGAAAATCTGAGTTGAAATCGCTGATTATAGGGGTGGGAAAAAACTGTTTAATATTCATTTGCCTTGTCTCTCTAAAAGAAAGATTTCTTTTTAACTCTCAATTTTTGTTTCTTTCAGGGAAGTATTGGACTCGGGAAATTCCAAAGAGCTTGAAAATCTTCTTGAAAGGTAAAATTTTCAGTTTTTATTCATGGATGAATATGAAATAACATTTACGTAAATTATACTTTTCTGATGATAACTTACTTTTTATGTCATTTATTAGATTTGTCCTTTGATCAATTAATCTACAGAAAATATTGATCAGAGGTCACATGCAGCAGTTGAAATCTATTGATAGTGATAAAAAGGTAAATATTCTTTCGGTCGACAAACAGCCTTTGCATGCCATGTTGCGCATTGGAATTAGGTGTTTGTAGTTTACAGTGGCATGGCATCCATAAGTTTGTAGTGTTCATCAAACACTCTTAAGTATTTTGGATTATGTAAAAGTGTAACTAACAATGAAGGAACCAGAAAAAAATGATAATTTTTAGTATTTATCTTAGATATTCAGCAGAATCCTTGCTGTGACTGTACTATGTAATGGGTAACAAGTGAAAATCTAGCAACATCAAAAGGTCTGACTGCAGAGAATGCAATAGTTTATTTCCTCTCGATACTAAAAACTAAGACTAAACACCATCTTGGCATTCCTTTTATTTAAATGTTACATTTGTATGGGTGCATCAATCGAAATTAGCGTTGAAAATTTTCTAGGAAGTAAAGTAATCTTAAATTTTACCAGCTCTGATTACGTAAACATAAGTAATATTTTTCAGTCTGCTGAGGCCTGCAAAATTGGAGACTTTCAAATATTCCTGGTCTGAACTGAAGAAAATACCAAAAGATAAAAGACGGGAGAGCAGAAAAAGATTGATGATTGGTCTTGATAAAGAAGAGTATATGAAGGCGAAAAGGATACGGTAATATTTTCTCATCTCTTTGGTTGCTTCTCCTCTTTTTCAAAAAGAGTATCTTGTGTGGAGTTTTCTGGTCCATTCAAATTTAACAATTTTCAGTTTTCAAAAACCCTTCTTTGAAATCTCTATTTTTTTTACGATTTTCTAAGATCTGCCAGAATCTGAAACAGAATCGAAAGATGCAATGCGAAGAAAAGGACACAGAGTTTGTATCAACCCAGCCTGTAAGCAACTATCTGGCCTATGAGGAGGCCTTGGCAAAAATGCAAAAAAATTGACAAATTCAGTCCCATGTATCTCGGCTTGAAAGAATCACCTAATTTTTTAGCTTCGACCCAGGTATTGATGATTTTTAGGTATGATAACCTATTAAGGTGATTTGTCAAGCTTTCTGACATGGTTGAACTTGCATGCGATGTATCGCATACCAGTTTGACCATGTCAGAGAGCTTGACAAATCACCTTAAAGTTTCATCAAAACACACTAAGAGCCACTCAGCCCTCACTGGTATGGAGGGTTGTTCCATAGAGCACACAGAGATGTAATGAGAGTGGAAGAGCAGAGACCACTTTTAAGCATTTTTCAGGTCCCAAATTCGGAGACTCCTGTGTCCTGTTGGGTCACTTTTTCGGTACATAATTAATTGTTTGCTTTGTTATACGGGGACCCGGCCATCCAATGTAAACAAAGAGGAAAGGAATTACCACATATCCTACATCGCCATTTTGGATCGAAAATATGTCGAAAAAGTTACTGATGCTCAGCGCACACCGGGCTTGGAACTCGTCGTCCAGGACATGGTCCTAGCTCTCCCATTCACATTACGACTCTATGTACTCTATGGGTTGTTCTTTAACAAATGGCAACTATTCTAACAAAAGGAAGGTTCCGGTAGGTAGCACATCTGGGATTTGAAACTAATGTCTCCATTGTCTCCTTGCAGCCTTGAAGGGAGGCAACTGAATGAAATTCATGACAAAACATCGCTGAAGTTCCAAATTTAATTAAGTTCTGATGTGCAAAATAGTCTTACAGTTTTTTCTGTTTTTTTCTGTAATTTTTTTTTTTTATTCCAAACAGCGGCCAACACGGAATTACCATGAACTACCCGCTGTGATAATTGTAATTTTAGATTATAAATTAAGGAGAAAGCATGGAAAACATGGGAAGGACATCACGCTTTGCATGTTTTATGTTTCAGAGACAACTTTGTATTTGGTACTAACAGCATTATTAGAAGTTTAGAAAGAGGGAAAATTCTATGTGGAATAGTGTCTCCAGATTTTGATCCTGCAATGGTTACGGATCACATTATTTCAGTCTCAAAACAAAAAGGAATTCCAGTGGTTCTTCTCCCTGAGCTAAATTCTATTTGTAAACGTTGTCTAGGGTTCCCCGCTAAAGCCCTAGGATTAAAGGTAAATCTTCTCAAAATTTTTAGTTGCTTCACCATGTATAGAATGCCTCAAAAGTCTTGTAACCAACCTTTGTAGGAGCTGACAAATGAAGTGAGCAAAATGGTATTTTATGAGGTTAAAGATCCTCTCATTTGCTCTTTAAAGCTCTACAGGGAATTTTTTCAAAACTGCCTTGAGAGAAGATTTTTATAGGAGAAATCTTAAAGCTATAGCTGCAGCAAGAGCACTTCATGTCATGAATGGGAAATGGAGGCAGACATTTCAAAGAAGTAGGACATGTTGAGTCAGCAGTAATAAAAAATAACTTTGCATATTTTCAGTACCTAATATTTTTGGAAACTCATTCAAATATAAGATATCCATATGCAATTCAATTTTCAGTCCGTTTTCTCTCCCATGAAAAGGTCTGACGATTTTCCTGGAGTCATGTATTTTCTTTGCTCAAAAGTGGCTGCCAGAAAGCGAATTCTTGATCAAATTTAAGCATCTCGTAATTTGTTTGCTTCATTTTTTCGCTCATACAGAGGTCGGTGACAAGACTTGAGACACCCTACTTAAACAAACCGTCTACTTTTGAAGCATTGCTCGCTAAGTTTTATTCATCAAATTAATTGAGTGAAAATTTTAAAAATAAAAAAAAAAATACTGGATCTTTTAAACAAACAATTGGAAAGCTAGTCACAAAGGGTTATTCTTTGCCAAAAATTATTATTCAGTTACTGTGAAAGGAACAATATTTTGACAGTAATCATGTAAACATGAATCTCTCTTGGTTCCAAGTTACAAAATTCATGTTTCTAGTTTATTTTATTCAAAGAATAGGTATTCCAAAAAAATAAAATTCACCAGGTTTTCAAAGGGGTTTTTAAAGGGTAAAGGAAAGTTACACATATTTTGGGCTGTTACAGGGTTTCCATAATTTCTTCGTTTTTCAATTCTCGAACTTTGCCTGTTTCCAAAATGTCCAAATCTCCTGACTTTCGAATTAAGCTTCCAATTTTTGTTCTTTATTAAATATGCTGACTTTTGTTAAGCTTTTGACAAAATGTCCACCCCTAGAACTTAAATGTTTACGATCTCTCAAATGGCATTGGCAGAAGTGGCTGAGCCTGCGATGCCTTCATGCTTCTTGTTGAATTCACTGACTTTTTCTGGTAGATGCAAATTCAGTAACTTTCCCTATTTTTCAGACCTCCAGAAACCCGTAGTTACAAAGATCAGCCCACCTTCAAAAGAGTAAAGTGCGACAATAAATTTGTAACATCATAAACCAAGATACATCAATTTGTCGCTTCATCAGTTTGCGCATTTCCAGACTTTCGCAGATTATTTATCTTGCATTGCTACTGTGGATTAAATAATTTGTTGCAATATATGATGCAGTTTTTGGTAGCTCAAGAGTTTATTTTTCTTTATTCATTTATGTTTCAGAGAACCGATTCAATAATAAGCGACGATGGTTACAAAAATTTAAAAAATCAAATTCTGGCTTTAAGTGATCTCCCTGATGAAGACTTGAAGCGAATTAATTCTTCCAAGTCACCTCCTTCTCACTCCAAATCAAAGTTGCGACATCCAAAACCCATCACACCCACTCCAAGAGACCTAATTCTAAAAAGGCCAAACAAAAGCAGTAGATGTTTTGTGCCAGGAGGCTCCTTAGTAGAAGTCAGCATGGGTAATTCAGATTTCATTTCATTTGGAACTTCCACAGCAAGTAAAGTCCTCTTACCGACATCTAAGACTACTTGCTCAGAAACAGATGATGATAGCGATTCTGATTCTGATTCTTATGTTGAAGCACCACCCACAAAACTGAAACCATACAGACCCATGTTCCAGACTTTGAAACTTAAAAAAATAAAATCCAAAAGTTAATTAATGTACACTTCTGAATGAAACCTAAATGAATATGCTCTGCTGTGATCGAACCCTTGCAGGATTGCAAATATGTACCTGATGGTCTTCAAAAGAGACTTGGTTACTTTATATGCTTGAATTAGAATCTCGAAAGTTCAGGCAATTTTTCTAATAATCTCAAGCCATAATTTCCTAAGGTCATTTACAGGATTTAAATTACTTAAATAAAGTTTGTCACAGTTTGTATTTATGTCTTAGCGGTAATGCAGATTTGACCTTAAAATAATGAAAACTCATTGATTTAAAAAAATAAATGAAATAATTTATTGAAATTTACAGTCAACAACAGGATAATGAATATAAAAAATTCAAACCTCCTTACAATAATTTTTTCCTCAATCACAATAAAGCACACTTAGACCTAAAAATAGTTATGTCTTTGGTCCCAGCATAGTCATTAAAATTAAATGTATGAAACTGTAATGAGTTTCATAAACTTCGATCAGTACATTAGGTACTTTTGACTCCATAGTATCCCTGTAACTGAACTGAAACTAGATGCGATTGTCATTATTCAGTAGAGGAAAGAATCTAACTGAAGTACACTTTTCACGACTTCATTCATTCTTGTGGGTAAAAAAAAAAAAAAAAAAAAAAAAAAAAAAAAAAAAAAAAAAAAAAACAGGGGGAAAAAACCCATAGAAAAAAAAACAGAAATTGAACAAATGAATAAAGGTTATGATATCACTTAGATTACAGCGATTATTTGGTGTCTGTGTAATTTGCATGGAAAGTCAACACAAAAAAGCAGAAGAGCTGCTTCCTATGGGAAGATCCAACTTTTTTGATCCTTCAAATAAATACTGAACGGGAAAGGAATTGGCATTATCAGAATTGTATCATCAGAAAGGATTAATCTGATATTTCTCTTCATCTGTCAAAACTGTGTTTTTGGTCTCGTCTTTCATCTGTACATTTTTCTCAAATTATTTCAGTGATCAAGCATGATTTACAAATTCTAATCCACTGATTAAGATTTTCCTTCTTTTTTTTTCACAACAATTAGGAGCAATTATATTTCAATGATCGAGCATGATGTACAAATCCACTGATTGATATTTCACTTCTTTTTTTAATACAAGGCAGAACAAGTTTGAAACTGTTATTTCTTTTGAAATGTCTATGCCAAGACTAGAAGTGAGTAACGATGAAAATGACAAGTAAGTTACTTCTGAAGTAACATATTAAATGAGGGATACAACGGAGACAAAGAATTTGATTAGCTAAGTAAGAGAAACATTATCAATACTAGTATTATCAGCGTAAGAGAAATGTAGTTGCTCTAAAACAGAAGGAGCAAGTTTCCTTTACCAGACATTTCTATCGCACTAGTCTCATTCTATTCAGAAATATATATATAAGTCACAGTTTAATTTAAAGCTGAGATAATTTTAATCTGGTGGCAAATCATACATTATCCACTTTCTCATCAAAGTTTCATGGTAAGATGATTTTTTTTTTAAAAAAAAGTCTATCGACGTGTAAGAAATTACTTAACACTTGTGTAATTCTTAGAGTTCAATTTCTGTCTTTCCCTTATTATTTCAAATAATAAGACAGAACTCACAGAATTAGAAGGCTTGGCTTAAACAAACCCTATATGTAATTGTACGAAGACGTTTTTACAACATGAAATATTAGGGCTTTAGTTTACAAATTTGATTGTCTTGAATCATGTTTTTTCCTTCATTTTTTCAAGTAAAGTACTGGAAGTAATTAAAAAAGGAACTAAAAGTTCTTGCTTTTAACTAATTTATGATTTGTACCTGTTTATAGGGTCTTGCCTCAAGAGGGGCGTCAATTTTTTGATAATCAGGTAAAACATTATGATTTCTGGAGTTAATAACTTTTTTAATCCCAAAATGTTGTAAACTATATTTTTCATACCTAATTAATGTTAGTATTTCTTTTGAAGATTTTCACTCTAAAGAATCACTCGGTGACAGTTGATAGATGATTAGCTACTTTGTAAAAAGACTCAAGTGGTCACGTGAAAACAATATTCAAGACTTACAAAATGTATAAGATACATGTCCAGCACAAGGGTCGAGCAAAACATCCATCAGCTCACAGAGCTGGAATGTAAAATAGGTTGAAAATATACATCATATCAGATGACAATAGCACAGAAAAAGTACATAGGGAAGATAAATAGTAAATTTTAAAGGTTCTGACAATGTCAGTTGTATGGTAAGTTTTATTGGAAGAAATTTTCCCGCTTTGACTGGGTTTCACAGTTCAAATAAAATGAGTAAAAAAAAACCTCCATTACTTTTTATACTGCGATTAAATCATGACGTAACTGGACACCATAGGAGGCCAAAGATTGCTGTTTGTGGTTATATCATGATGAAATTAATATTTAAGTATCTGAATAAGGCTTGGTACAGTCCCTAAAGTCTGTTGCTCTTTGATGTAATTATTTCCGCATTTTTAGTGTGGTCCAACTGGTATGCAATGTAACGCAAAGATTAAATAAAAAATCTTAGCGGGTTTTAATTATTTAGCCAAAGAGAGGACAATAGCCCCTGCATATGAAATTAAAGAATCAGTCTAAGTCATATAAAATACAGAGAGCTGAAAGCAGGATTCTCCTTAGAAAAAAATGTTTGTATTTCATCGATAACTGTAACAAAAGTGTTGATTCTTATGGCTCCTCCGCAAGGACTAGTGTCCTTTTATGACTTAAGAGTTAAAATCTGCCAAGATTATTGAGTTAATCGGTGCGATACATAGCACATCAGTGTAGCCTTGCCAAGAGCCCGCAACGAATCACTTCGACTCAAGTTTTTGGGCATGAAATGACCGAGTAAATTGTTAAAAAGAATCAGTCAAGATCCTCTCACATTTTAAATACACAGACAGCTACATCTGGTATATGAGCGGGTAAAATTTGTTTGAATTAGTTACTAGAGAGGTTTGAATACGAACATACTTAAAATGATATGTACATATGCGAACGATAAACGACAAAAATAAATATATGGAAACCTATATAATAGGTACTCTTTACGCAAAAAAAATTGCAATTTTGTATAATTCAACATGCTTATTAACAATTAAAATGTCAATAATTTCAAACAATATCACAATGATCAAATATTTATCAATATTGTGAGCATTTCAATCGCTCAAATTACTAATATCGATTTGGTGCTTTGAAATAAAAAAAAAAACCACCACTCACTTTTGATTTTTGAACTTGATGAGAGAATAAAATTGCTGAGTATGAGATTTCATTTTTTGTCATTGAAATTGATTATCTGTTAAAAAATGCTTCAATAGTGAAGCTTTAGCAGGTTGCACTATTATCCTGCACTTCAAATGAAGCAAATGGAAATCTAACAAAAATAAATGAACAACAAAACTCATACATGTACACTCACTAAACGAAATTAATTTCCACGAAAAATAAGGAATGGAGTTTTTTCTTTTCATTCAAAGCCCAAAATCTTTTTTGCTTTTACTTCTCCATTATGATTTGATACAAACCAATCTAAAGAGTTATCATTTCTCTGTTGTATACTCTGACAAAAGAAATGATGAATTTATATGCTGAAAAAGTTCTCTCTCATGGTTGTCACACCTAAGTTTAATATCAACCGATGAACATTTTTCTTACTCCATGTTTGCGATGAGTGGCTCACAGCAAAACGCAGTCTAAAGGAGATTTTACAGCAGTTACAACAAACAGCAACTTGGCTATTTTATGTAGCAGTTGCTGTTGTAGAATTTTTTAGGAGAATACAGGGTGATTGGGATTTTCATTTGAAACTAAAATATTATATAGTTTGATGCAAGTTTCGAAACTTCTAAATAAGATTGACAGTGGAATTTGAAAAAATGAATCTCCAGCAAATTCTATGAAATACATCTGAATTATTTAAGTATGAAGTAAAGAGTCGCTTTTGTAGCTCACTAGGGTGCTCCGTGACACCTGACCGCCTTTTTTCTCTAGTCCAAAGAAATCGATACTAAAAACTGGTCAAGAAAAAAGACAAAATAATTTTAAGAGTACTCTCATCATCATGCCATATTTTGTGAAATTTAACTGTTCCACACAAAAATAAATAAATAACATTCATCTGATAAAGAACTATTTTGTTCCTTAAAGGTTAATCTTTCAATATGTTTTAAACATGGAGTGGTTGTTGCACCCTCCTTACAAGCATTTTTTTCTAATAAACGCATCTGGCTTTATGACACTTCAATGCCATTAAAAAGAGGAGAACAAAAAACATGTTTCACATCCTCATCAGCCACATTAAAATGGATCACACTATTTAATCTTTATATGGTCAATGCAAAAGCTAACTCCGAATGAAAAAAATTTATAACTAAGAGAATGATTCTACTTAAATTCAATCTATCAATCGTCAAACTTTAATGTATCATGCTTAAATTGCAAAGTTTCAACACTTATGAGTATACTTTATTTTTCAGAAGGCAAGCAAATTAACATTGTTCTTTGAAATTTTTATGGAATGATCATGGAACACTGAAAAGAAGTCAGAGAAAATAACAAGTCATAATGTTGCTTTGCTTCCTAATATATATAAAAAAAAAAAAAAAAAAAAAAAAAAAAAAAAAAAAAAAAAAATTACTTGTATACTTCATTTTTCCCAGAAACAAAAGTATACACACCAATTTTAAAATGTTGCGATTGAAATGCATCGTTATAGAGTTGATCACTTTATCAATTAATTAACGTTCTCTAAGTCTTAGGTCATCTCATCTTACATTGTTTAGTTGAAACTTTTGAAAATGCAAGTTCTCCAAAAAGCAAAAAAAAAAAGAAAAAAAAAATTGAAAGTGTCAAAATCCAGGGTGCCTCAAAGAATACAGAAACAATCTGTAATTAAAAATTAAAATAGATCCAATAGTTACCGTCACTAAGAGCAGATCAACTGATTTATGAGGATCGCCATCAAAAAGTTGAGGCACCTTTTTGAAGGTAAGACCTTCTCTCTTCTCACTGGGAAAGAAGAGAGCAAGAAAGAGAGAAAAAATTAGCAATGAGCTTTATAAATGTTTTAAAGCAAGAAAAAATTTAGTGCCATGACCAAATGCATTGCTCAATAATATCAAGATTGACCAGAACCTGAGACTTTGTCTTCTTGTTCACAGTAAATTAATGAAGCCTCTCCTTTTTCTGTGAGGGAAAATATCCTTTCATGAAAAGAAAACTCAGTCCACTATTAAAGGTTGATGGACTCAGCACATTAAAAACTTCAAGCACCAGAAATGGAACCATGAGAAGTAATGATTTCTAGCGAAAGGTAAGTAATGAATACTAATTTAGTTCTAGGAACCAATGGGAAACATAGACAAAATTAGTGCACACAGCTTTTGAGCGTTTGTCTCAGCTGGATACATTTGCATGACAGTATCAACTTGTTCTTGAGGAAAAATTGAGGACAAGTGATAACGTAATCTGTTTCTATCCTCGGTTGGATGAGAGAATGTTGGTGACACATTCCACACGGGAGGAGGAACAGATAAATTTGATTGTGATTTAAGTAAGGCAGCGTGTTGCGACAGAGGGGCAGATGCTATCCTAGTCACGCCTTGATGGATTTCTGGCGGAGGAGAGTATATATCACAGCTTGCAGCTCTGGCAACTCTGTCATGTTCAGACGCAGCAAAGTTTTGCAAGTGATGCAGGCGTGGATCATAGGTTGGATTCAATGATAACTGACGCTGCAGCTTGGCATGCAGATTTATCGGGGCATCTTGATGCAGATGTTTGCGCTCATACTGGATATTCATTGCATTAGGAGACGGCCAGTTGACAGGATGAGTGGGACTTGATCCTTGCATGGACCAACCACTTGGTATGCTAGTCCCACTTGGTCCTAACATGGAATTTCCTTGACTCTGATCACTCAAGCTTGACTCCAAACACACAGGATTTGTAGATTTTGTTCGAGAAAGCCGAGTTTTTAGCACTGGTTTGCTGTCTGCTCCATAATTTCCACCGCTACTTGAAGATAGAGGTAGACTTATAGATTTCCCGGTCAGTTGTTTACCTGCAACCACAAACGCAAGAATTTTTCGATGAATTTTATACACACATACGACTTAGGCTGCATAAGAAAATATTCTTACATGGTTCGAAATCAGTAGGTAAGGGTGCTGCAGGTAACTTGCTAAAATTCGGATTCTATGGCTCCAAAAAAAAAAAAAAAATCGTGCTTCGTCAAGGATTATCTGTGGTATCTCAAACCTTCCTTCTAAAATTCTCGTAATCAATACTTAGTCCTTCATTTTGTTGTTTCATATTCCTCTCTTTCTGTTTTTGTGAAATTTTATTATACTTTGAAGTAATCATAACAGTGGTGAAGGAAGTTTGATGTAACAGGAGATAAGTTTTATTTTTAGATGCAATGTGTACACTTTTTCACCTTCCAATATACTGGCTACAAGGAAAAAATAATAGAAAAATAAAAATGATAGATGTAAGTGGAAGTTAAAAAAATTGAGATCAAGAGTGTAAGGTACATTCATACAAGCACTCAACTTCGAGAGTGAACGAGGAATTTGATCGAAAATGTAACTTTGTCCTATTTTTCCAAAATAAATAAAAAAATCTAATTACCAGAAGTATTGTCCGAAAACCGAGTTTGAAGCTGTCGCTGAGCATTTTCTAACAATCTTTCAGAGACAGACTTCTGCGGAAATGGTCCCCTTTCTGGATGTTCGAATTTGCATTTGTTACCATAAGTGCACTTCTTCCCATATGGACAGGGTATTGAGACACCATTCATTTTCATTTTTGCTCCAGACAAGAAATTGTCCAATGTGGGTCCAGATCTTCCGAGAGGATCTTCGGGAGGCATAAACCTAAGACACACAGAGAGAATGATTTTGAGGAAGGCATAAATTTGAAGAGGAAATTACTTTCTCTAAGAACTAGAAATATGTAAAAATTTAGTAGGTAATGCTGGTGTGAGAGCTTCTTATCTAAACTCATGATAGATGATGATTGCTCTAAAAATACCAAAATTTTGAAGTACATTTTCAATTAAAAAAGGTCTATTTTCATCGTAGCATTGGTATTACCTAAACGTTATTCATCTCAAAAGTGTCAACAAGTTAGTTGTTACCAGGGGGTTTTTGCACAGAAATTACACAATATACAAATGGAGCACAATTTTCTTTCTTTTTTCCCCACATAGAAAGGTTAAATCAAGGGTGTATTGTAGAAACACATATCTCGGTTGTGGTATTTCAAAACCTTCGCTACTATTTTATATTTTAAAATGAGACGGAGCTAAAGTCATGATTTTAAATTATCTCAGAATATTATTCACATTGGAGAAGTAAAGTCGCCAATTTATTTGCGAAATAAGGACAGAAAATCTACAGCGCCACAAACCGAGATAAGCGTTTAAGCAGTTCCACGGATGAGTTTCATTATATCAATCCATTAAGGTATCTTGTGGGTGAAACTGAAATTATTGTTACAGTTTCACAATTTCATAATTGAATTAACAGCAAGCAATTTCTATGAGAGATGAAGTAAGTAATCGCTTCTCTTTCCTGTCCTATTTCAGCTTATTCAAAAATATGAATTTAAACATTCCTAATCTGACTGATATTTAAGCAGCTTAACATATGTTTCCATAATCATTCATTCTTACCAATATTCCAAATGACTCCATAGATTTGAAAATTACTTCAAGGGAATTGATGTGGAACCTGTGGCTTGCTCTCTTTGTAATTTGAATTTTTCTAATTTCTAATATTTGTTTTGGTATGAGTAGAAGATACGACTTTTAACAGTTTTATAGTTTTTTGTCAATTTTACAATAATATGTATGTCATTGCACGCTGTCGCTGTATTTGTTGACGCTTCTGACACATTTAAAAAAATTTATACATTTTAAATAATACAGCATACAAATTATCTCACTAGATTCCTTTCAACTAGACTAAAGAATTAGTAAAAGCTTACCTATCATTGACAAAAGAATACATGAGAATCCGCTCATTGACAACTTTCCGAAATTCAGGATTTTCTTGGGCAAGGTCTCGATAGTTGTCATTTGAGACAACGATCCCATCCATATCTGCAGCCAACCGTAAAATATATCTATCATCATAGCAAATCATACGCTTTCCTCCAACCAACCGAGATGGGGTGAAAACAAGAGCCCTTTCTCGTTCCAATTCTAGAAGCACATCTTGATCTGAAAAAATCAAGAATATCTAAATTAAATTATTTGAGTAAAAAAAAAGATAATAAAAATAACTATGAACTCTTCAGAATGATCATTCAAAATGTTATCTTTGTATTTTTGAATAGAATTTCTAACTGTAAAAAGCGACCTCCGAAATTTTAAAACAGAAAAAGAAGTAAAAATTACCGGATGAAGATACCATTTGATTAAATAATTTTGAGATTCTTCGTATTTAACAGGACACAATGGAATGGGTGGAAATATTCATGATGTCATGTATAGAGTAAACGAGGTTCAATGAAGGAGTGCAACTTAGATTGTGAGCCAGTTCAAAGAGACTGGAATTAAAATATTTCAGAGAAAATCTCCTCTCATTTACTTCGACCAAGAAATATGTAAGGAAAAAATTTACCCTCTGTAAGGGTAAAACCATTCGAACTAATTTTTGCAATGAAAGATGATGAGTAGGAAAGAGCTAAGGAAGAGTACAAACCTCTGATGAGATTATCTGGCCTGGGTGATTCTTTTCTCCACTTTGGTACAAAGACAACAATTTCTTGATGACCTCTTGCTCGAAACCAATCAACACAAATTTTGATTCCTCGACAAGAGAATACTTCATTGTTGCCATGACTAAAAGAAAGGAAAATAGAAATCCTCAATTTAAAAATCTACTTATTAAGAATGTGTTGATATGTAGTAGTCTACTTTTTAATTCCAAGATATAGATTGGATAATACAGAAAACTTGAATTTAAAGGAGGAAAAGTGTTAGATTTCTGGTTTCATAGACGAATTTGTGATATTCCTTAGGAGCAAAGATACCAGATGATAAAATTTTCTTTAAATGTAAATGCATAGGAGAAGCAAAGTTTTGTACTTGTTTCTGTAATATGGTCACTTTTGGACCGACTTCAACTCATTAAATTTCAGGCAATGCAAGTAGTAATAGGTTGTGTGCCCTCCATGACAACCAACCATGTGGATAAATCGTTGTAGGAGTCACATCCAACGTGAGTACCTTGGCCTGCCGGTATAAGAAGAATGGTTCATTCCCATGTCTGAGAAGGCGACGAGTCTTGCACTCGATTTAGGACGTTTTTAGTTTTCTAAACTTTTTCAATTTGAAGTTGCTGAAAAATCGGTAGCCTGATTCTTGAAATTTAGTGTTTGCAGATCAAACACGACAATACTGAGCAAGAATGGAGTTGCGTTATTGGTCGGCTTTGTAGGTTGTCCTCTTTGTCAAACCGATGTTGGGTGGAATTAGAGATTAGGTATTAGCAACTCAAGAGGAGGTTTTATCTTGCCATCGGTTCAACCAGATATAAGCACGAAGATAACAACTGAAAAAGCCAACCGATCACATAAATCGTTCTTGGCTTGGTCTTGTCTTATCCTGGCAATTAACACAAAATTTTAACTACCAGGCTGCTAGAAATTTAAAGCTGGTCCAGTTTCTTGGTAGAATGAAAAAGAATAAAAAGTAAGGACATAATAGAAAAGTGCTAAAGTACCTCATTGCTACATTGCTACCATCAATAACAATTGGACGTAGACGGGTCTCATTTGGTTGATGCTGTTGCACAGTGCATTCTTGTGACAAAAGTGGAGGTGGTAGTTCATTTACTTCACCAACAGTTCCTCCTCCACTTCCTCCTCGACTGCTCCCTTGAGCACCAAGTTTAATGAGTTCCTTTACAAACAAAAATAAAAAATAATGAAGTAAATAAATATAAGAGCTGACAGTTATTTTAGTGGAATATATTATTCAAAAAAGGTAAGTGCAGTATTTTTGAAAGGATTATGCGCAGCTTTATATCCTGGTGAGCAAAAATAGAGACAATATTTTTAAACTTAAAATCCTTTCTTCTTAAAATCATACAGATGCGCAATTTTACTGCGCAATTATTTGTGTTAATTTATTGATCAACATTGAAATTAGACCACCAGCATTATGTTTCAAATATTTTGCTGATGCTGAGGCAATTTTCCTTCATCATGACCATTAAAACATAATTTTGAGTGTTAAAAAGTGAAATGACAAAGCGCCTTTTTTCAGCATTATATGCATAGAATGATTTTGGTTGGAGAGGTTGTATCAGGCGGATTTAGACACTTCGAGCAAGAAAAGGGCGTAAGAGGGGGGGCCTGGAGGGCTTCCCCCAAATTGTCGAAATTTGAAAGCATTTAACTTGAGTTTAAGTCTATTTCGTCATGTATACCTAAATACTAAACATAAGCGTCTTTCCTCCTCTTTTCTGTTTTCTTACTTTTTTCTTCCTTTCTTCCTCCTTTTTATGGGCGGATGAAGGGGGGGGGGCTTACGCTTTTTACGTATCCCCCTAGATCCGCCTACGGGTTTTATGAAAGGCATCTCGACGGTGTAAGTCGGCAATCACATAACTCGGTTTGCGACGTCGCAGACTTCCTGTCATACTTTATTTTTTAAACGGAAAACTACTCAACGGCAATTCTTTAGAACTGATTTTTCTTCTCTGTGCGAAGAAACTTCAGCATAAACTTCAAGAAATGATGTCAATTTGTTTTCCTTTAAAAAACGAACATAGAGGCGGAGATTTTCAGACACCGCAGACGAGATATGTGATTGCGGACTTAAGCCGTCTCTACGATATTCGACGAACACTGGAAAAAAAAACACATTGAATCTAGAGTCCAGACTCTTAAAAACATCGACAAGAAAGAATACTCTTGATTCAATCAGATCTAAGCTTAAATCAAGAACCAAGCCTCTTAATTTGATTTCCTTTTGATTAAAGCTTAAATCTGATTGAATCAAGAGTCCGTTTTCTTGTGAATGTTTTCAAGAGTCTGGACTCTAGATCCAATGTGTTTTTTTTTTTCCAGTGAAGGCTGAACTTAAAAACACACGTACCTCCAATAACTCATTTTGCTCGGGATTCGGCCCTAGTTTTTGAAGTGCTGTTTGGACAAGCTTTTCTGAGTAACCGAGCTTGAGGCCGAACTCCACTTTACTCATGTAACTCGTGTCATTTGTGTTGACATATTCATCGAACTCCGCTTTGAGGGTGTCAGAAACGGTGCGACTGATGTCCTCATGAAGCGCCGATTCGTCGCCGGCCTCGTAATCCGAATCGTAACTCGAGTCGTTCCGCTCGTTCTGTGCATCTTCATCTTCGTCCTCTTCGATCCCCGTTTTCTTCTCTGCGCTACACAACGCATCTACATAACTCTGCAACATTCCAAAAATCATTCATTAATATCTACTCAAAAGTGAAAGACACCTTTCATGAGAATATGATGGGGAAAGAGAAAAAGAGGCAGTCAAAGAAAAAAAAAAAAAAAAAAAAAAAAAAAAAATGGAGAATTTGCAGATGTCTTAAATTTTGTGAATTTCATCTAGGAAATACTTTTCCTATACTACTAGGAAAACTGAGTGCGAAGATATCCTTGGTTTCTACATTGGACAATTATTTGAGAAAATATGATAGAATAACCTAATCTGCTAAAATACATGTGTTTAAATGGGAAATGCCGCCAGATGACGTCACTAGGCGGTGCATTTTCTCACTTTTAAATCTATTTTTATACTATTTCCCATACCAGAAAAAAGTATTGAAATACTGTGAAATCAGCTCTTTATGCACTTTCAGATGAAGCAATAAAAAATTTGCATGCAAACTCTCCTTTGTTGAAATCGAGTTCGCAGGTCTGAGTAACTATCCGGGGAAAGGGCGGGAAATTACAGCTATACAATTGATTTTTTTAGGACTAAACAAATTTAATGAGGACTTATATGTTGGACCAGAGAGGAGTGTTTCGCTCGATTAAAACTAATATTCGCACTAAAATAAATGTGATTTAAGGTACAGAGATGAGAGTATATGGTGATCGCCAACAGACCCTCTGGTATTTTGATTCAGTCTTTTCGTACCTATGCAGGGCCGGATTTACCTACTTGCCGCCCATGGGCCGCCTGTATTTCGCCGCCCCCTTCACATTAATTTAGGAATACCAATAAAAACCATCAAGTAAGCGTGCCAGCGGGGGAGGGAAGCATAAGAATCGTTTACTCGTGTTGGACATATTTTTTGGGAAAGCCCTGTTAACACTACTAGCAAAAGTTCATGGAACTTTGCGCAAAAGTTAAGTTCCGTAAACCTATCTTCCATTCATAAGAAATGAACGAACAAATTATGAAAGAACAAACATAGATGTAGTTGAATGATTTTAACTTCCGCCGCCGCGCCGATTGCACTGTGTTTGATGCAATGCGTTAAGTATTCACGCAGTCTTGTAGGCGCTAGGCGTTTCACGCTGACCGCACTGTCTTTGGGGCAATGCGTGAAGTATTCATGCATACTTGTAGGCGCTATCCGTTTCACGCTGACCGGAGTGACCGCACTGTGTTTGATGCAAGGCGTGAAGTATTCGTGCAGTCTTGTAGGCGCTAATATGTGTTACATGCCGACCGCCGCGCCGATGGCTTCTCCTTTTCATCTCAAGTCCTCGTCATCATTTCTCTCTAGCAAAAGTTTGCAACAGGCCCATTGCGTGTTTGGTTCCTCTCTTAACTCGATTAATGAAAGGTGCTGTCTCTTTTATCACTAAAAGCCAACAACATTAAAAATTACTATCCTCTTAGGAAATGAGAGATTTTGTCGCCTTTTCTCGTTTGTAATTTTTTTTTCAAAATTCGATTTTTTTTAAAAAAAAAATTGCAAAATTTGCCGCCCCCTTGATTTGCCGTCATGGGCCGCGGCCCATGTGGCCACCCCCTTAATCCGGCCATGTACCTATGTGTTTTTTTACCTTTTTGCTGTCCATTCTAATCATAACCTTATCAGACAGTTTGGAAAAAGCTTAGCTGATCAAAAAAGGAGAGAACTGCCCGTTGTGGACGGACAATATGTCGTGCAGAAACCCCTCCTTCCTCCAAACGCAGAAAATGAAAAGCCTACCAGACTGTCAAGGTGCATTTGAAAAGGAAACAACGGTGCTGAAAAGTGTTCAGGCACCTTGAAAGGTCCCCGAAAATTTGTAGTATTCGATTATGCAGCGCAAGTTTATTACGGAAAATCCATTTTTCCGAAAAATAAACACGTACTACAGGAAAACGAATAAGGTTACTTCTAAATTTGGCTTGCAGAGCGCGTATAGTTTCGGCAACGTCAATCACGAAACTCGTTTTACCTTTTCCTTTGGCTCGCAATCATTGTGCATAATTTGGTCCGCGTTGAGCAGAAAGGAACCAAGTCACATCAGCTATTGCGACATTAAATCGGGTACTTTAATTTTTAACAGGAAAACGCTTGTGCGGATTTTTGTGCAAATTTCAGTTGATTTTCTGCATGTTACGAAGCAATTCCTTAAAATTTCCAAAAGGAATCCGCTCAAACCGTCTCTTCGAAAAATTAAATTGCCCACTTAAATTTGGCAATAGCTGATGTGGCTTGGTTCCTTTCTGCTTAACGCGGTACATTTCTCCTCCTGCTTTTCATTCGTATCGCAGTGCCAAAATTGAGGCCACATGGGGGCTTGGGTTATACAATATGATCTGATCCCAGTGAAACTTCGCGCGGAAATCATTCTTCAATCAGCGCCGATAGCTTCTAAAAGCGCGAGCGCGCTTCAGAGGTAAGGGGGCCAGAGGTGGATCCAACAGTTTGGCAACGCCGGATTGCCTCCATTTAAACCTATGTTAAATAATCGACTCTTGTCGGAGCACCTGGCTCCTGCAAGAATCGATACATTTCCATAGGTTTAAATGAGGAGCAAACAATGTTGCCAATTTGATGGATCCGCTACTGATGAAGAGGGCTCCGGCTGAAATTCTTCGGAGACTTTAACGAATGGTGAGAAAAGTAAGAAAACGCACGTGAGCGATGAACAGTAGTTTAGACGCAGCGCGCATTGGTGTCTCTTCGGAGACTTCTACGAACGCTGAGAAAAGTAAAAAAGAAAACTTCAACGAAATACTGACAGTATTAATGACTAGATCAAGGGGTGATGGGGCCATTAAAGTCGGCTTTAATCCTCCTAACAACCATTCGGAAACCTGAGACTGAATTTCGACGATAATTTCCTCTTTTTTTTCGGCTAGAAGATCGATTAAATCCCTCATGGGACCCCTAGAGTCTGCATTCCACAATTTTTTTCTTTATTGAGGGGAGTGATGGGGATAAGACTAGAATTTTTGGGGCTCCGTGCCCATAAAATTAGAGTTTTGGAGAAGCTAAGACTGCAATTTTAATGGACTCAAGTAAAAACGCGGCCCCTCAGAAACTGTAGATCATTTTCACGGGGACCTCAAGGCTTCAACGGTAGTATTTTTTGATCTCCTGGGACCGAAGTGTGGGCGTCTGGGACCCTTCGTTTTCTTGGAAACGTGAGCCGCCTTTAATTTACAAAGTACACAACCCGCAATGTACGGGTCCTTTAATACCTGGTATAATACTGAGCCCCTAAAAGTGCTGAACCGGTCCTGGTAATACTTGTAGGAAAAATAAGAACACTCGAATCTTTTGTCGATTTTCACGAGTTTAAGATTCTTCGGAGATTTTACGGAATGGTAAGAAAATTGAATAAATTCACGTGGGCAACGAATGTCAGTTCAAATACAGGAGATCCGCGGAACAAAAATGACAGGGAGGGGAGTCTAAAACAGTAATACACACCGGTGACTCTTGAGAGACTTTAACGATCGGTGAGAAAAGTGCGAAAATTTCAACAAGCTACTGACAACAGCTGAAAGGCAACGGCACCAAGATGTATTTAGTTTGTGGGTAAATTTGTGAAAGCTGCAGGGAAATACAGCATAGTCTGCATGCATTTATACTATTTTACAGCTTTAATGTAATGCTAAAATAAAAAAATGAAAATACTCGAACCCTTGGTGATTTCCGAAAGTTGGTAAAATCCCCCCATTTAAGTCCATCATAAATTATCGATTCTAGGAGAAGTTGTCCGTCTCAATGAAAATCGATTATTTACCAAGCATATCAATGGAAGAAATGCAGTGTTGTCAACCTGCTAGAATCATCGCTGATGGCAACGAGCAAGATCAAAATAACCTTCTTGTTCAGGGACACTGACAATCATGAGAGATTAATAGCTGGTAATTGAAAATAAATACGTTCACGCTGACATAGAGCTTTCGAAAAACACAGGAATCTTGATTACGACTTAAACGGTACTTATTTGCGCATCAAATATACGCGCGACGTAACTTGACGTCAATGCGCTGAACGCTGATCCTATCAGGCCTTGTTTTGTCACTGATGTCGTCTCGAACAACTATGCATCGGGAATGTCACCCTGTCATCTCCCAGACACGAGTTAAAGTTGCTGGTACTTTAATGACACACGGCGAGATCGCTTTCCCAAACAATAAGAATGTTTACAAAAAGATGCGAACACGTGTTTAACCGTCTTCTGGAAGGTTTGTCTTACTATACCTATTTTGAAGCGCACCGAAGTTATCATTTTTGAAACCATGCATTTGCAATTATCTTTCATCAAAAGATCTTCGTAATTTTAACGCTAAGGCTTATCGATTCACTGATCTTGAGGTGAAAATTACGAAAAAAATGATCTGTTGGAAATGCTTCCAAGTTAAAGAAGGAATTAGTTCACAACAACCGCAGAATTTCTACTTCATTTTTCCGATTCAAAAACCTATTCTTAGTATGAAATTTGTCAGAAATATTAGTATCGCAGACATTTTCACTTAAATTAAGAGCCGCGGAAACTTTAAAAAGAGCTGAGAGCAACGCTGCGCCGCAACATCCAGATCTCATGATGATTTCGAATCGGAGCGCGAAAAGTGGCGACTAAGATCATTTTTAATAACCTAAATGCATTGATCTCACACTACCAGGACTTTAACAGCTGCACAATCTGTTCAGCACTACCCTGATGGAAATCAGATTTGTACATCCCCTCCAAAAGTGTTTCATGCTCCATCAGTCAACATTGTCACGAGAGCATGAATTTCAGCCAAAAAAGTACACAAATTTAAAGGGATTCACATAATCCAACGATTTTGTTGGCTCTCATAGATCCTGAGGCGTTAAGGACGCAAAACATATTGCTGGGAGGCAATTTTTCTGACTTTTCAAGGATTCCGACCAAAAAACGTACCGATTTTTCAAGAATGACGGGCATGAAAATGGAATCCACGAGATATATCCCAAACACATTTTGTGAGAAGTCCAAGCCCCAAAGGTGGGT